CGTGGCTGGCCTGATCATGTCGTGGAAGTCTCTCAGTGTGGTGTTTTGATGATTCCTTGTGATTAAATCCCTGGTACATGTTTTTTGTTTTTTTTGTTTTGAGACAGAGTCTCGCTTTGTTTCCCGGCTAGAGTGAGTGCCGTGGCGTCAGCCTAGCTCACAGCAACCTCAACTCCTGGGCTCAAGTGATCCTCCTGCCTCAGCCTCCCGAGTAGCTGGGATACACGCATGCGCCACCATGCCCAGCTCATTTTTCTATATATATTAGTTGCCAATTCATATTTGTTCTATTTATAGTAGAGACGGGGGCTCGCTCTTGCTCAGGCTGGTTTCGAACTCCTGACCTCAGGCCAATCTGCCCGCCTTGGCCTTCCAGAGTGCTAGATTACAGGCGTGAGCCACGGCGCCCGCCTTGGTACGTGTGTTTTGAAAGAATACCACCAACAGCGATGGTCCGTGTAGCTGCGTTAATATCGCCAGGCACGTGGTATTTCCATCCCTTTACTGGGGCTGTTGACTTTGACACTTAGTTCAGCGGATGTTTGCCGGCTTTCTCTGTCGTAGTTACTGTTTCCCTTTGTGATTACGAAGACTTACTTTGTAGAGAGTCGCTTTGAGAACTAAATATTCTGTTTTCCCTCCTGCTTTCCCTGTCCTGATGTCAGCGATGGCTGACGATTCTTGCCTGAGACTCGTCTTACTCTGGTGTCTGTAGGCTGGGCCTTCTTCTTTAAACCTATCTAAATTCTTTCCCCCCTGTTACTTTTTACTTCATTTTCCCCAGGTTAACGTAATGTAAAAAACCTAAAAACGGAACCGATTCAGGTCTCCAGAGAAGGGTTGAAAAACAAGGTCGGAGAGGCAAACAGAGGAGGAGTAAGGAAAGCAAAGCCAGAAGAGGCAGAGAATAAACCAAGAAAGTGCAATGTCCAAAGCACAAATAAGGCCAGCACGATGACTCACACCTGTAATCCCAGGTCTCTGGGAGGCCGAGGCAGGAGAATCACTTGAGCTCAGGAGTTCAAGACCAGCCTGAGCAAGAGCGAGACCCTGTCTCTACTTAAAAAAAAAAAAAAAAAAAAGAAAAGAAAAGAAAGAAATTAGCTGGATAACTAAAAATATATAGAAAAAATCAGCCGGGCATGGTGGCGCATGCCTGTAGTCCCAGCTACTCTGAAAGCTGAGGCAGGAGGATCGCCTGAGCCCAGGAGTTGGAGGTCACAGGGAGTTATAATGACGCCACTGCACTCTAGCCTGGTGACAGAGTGAGAGAATGTCTCAAAAAAAAGCATAGGCCGGGCACGGTGGCTCACGCCTGTAATCCTAGCACTCTGGAGCGAGGAGGGCAGATTGCTCGAGGTCAGGAGTTCGAAACCAGGCTTGAGCAAGAGCGAGACCCCCGTCTCTACTATAAATAGAAAAAATTAATTGGCAACTAATATATATAGGAAAAATGAGCCAGACATGTCGCGATGCCTGTAGTCCCAGCTATTTGGGAGGCTGAGGCAGGAGGATCACTTGAGCCCAAGAGTTTGAGGTTGCTGTGAGCTGGGCTGACACCACGGCACTCACTCTAGCCTGGGCAACAAAGCGAGACTCTGTCAAAAAAAAAAAAAGCATAAAATATGATGGTAGAAATAAAGCCAAATACTGTAGTAATCCAACACATACAAGTAGGTCAAGCTCATTAATTGTCTGGTTGAATTAGAAAGATAGATCTAGTGATGTGGCAGTTTAAAGAACTGTCCCTACACTGGGAAGGGGACCGGCGTGGGGAGCGAAAGTCGGGAAGACAGATGCCCGGCACGCTCTCACCTAACGTGCCGCAGTGGGTTTTCAGAGTCAGACTCGAGACTCGAGCTAGAAGCGTTTGGTGGGGAAGGAACGGGTGCGCAGGAGGCTGACAGTCATTCTCGTATTCTGGTTACTTACGTTCTGTTGAACTGCCTGTGAATTATGTGGTTCCAATTTTTTATGTGTGTGTGCGTGTGTATACGGCCCTGCATGTATACAAGGGGCGCAGAATACATGCGCACACAGGTACACGCACGCCAACGGGCAGGTCCCGGTTCCTAACTGACGCATAATGCACTTCCTGGACAAAGCGTATATGCGCCTGCGGAGAGCATCAGCTGCAGGCTGGGACGGAACAGATGCTCCCTAAATCGCAAAGGCTCGCCGCCGCGCCGGACGTGGTCCTGGCCGCGCAGGGGGACTGGTCCGCGGCCCGGCAGCGTCAGCACGGCCGCGCGCGTTCGGAAACCGAAGTACGCGCTCCCACGTCTCACTGCTAAGCACTCGAGCAGAGAGAAGAAAGAAAAGGAAAAATGAAAAAAAGAAAAAAAGAAAAGATCATATTCCCCCAACATGATACCTACCTGCTCCTTATTATAAGTGGAGCAGCACAGCGGAGTATGAGGAAAAGTGCCAGCATGCGCTTCCCCAGGGACGGCCACCGCAGGAGGGACCCGTGTTCCAGCTGCCGGTGGCCAGCCCCCTCCTTCTCAGGGCTGGGTCTCGCGTGGAGGGTAGGTGCGGTTCCACCGGCCACAGGGGCATCTCTCAATAACGACCGTCTCCCTTTCTGATTGAAGGTGACCTTGGCCACCAGTGTGAACCCATGTGGCCCAGATATGTACCAGTCTGAGAACCGCTGCTGCAGACGCTGCCCAGCGGGTGAGTCCCAGGACACCTTCCAGGGCCTCCCGGGCTGACCTTCCAGTGTGGGAGACGGGAGGCCCCGGGCGCTTAGTTAGGGCATGGCTGGAAGCTGCCCCGGGTGGGAGAGCTCGGCTGCTGATGGGGGTGGGCGTGCCGCTCCGTGGAGCCCCCCTGTTCTTCCTCCCACCTCGGGTGGCTGTCCTCTGCCCCCGCGGCTGTGGGGAGCACCAGGGCGAACAGGGGTGTCAGGCCTGCTCTGAGGTGGGCAGGCTGTGTTCTGGGGGAGTCGGGGGACAGACGTGGGGGACACAGCCTAGGCCGGAGGCTCCCATCTGCCCTCCCGTTGGGAAGAGCCCTGACGTGCCTGAGGAGGGAGGCTCCTGGTGAGCAGGGGCTCGGCTTCTCCGAGGGAGGGGTGCTGAGGTGCAGCCTGCCCCTCACAGCGCGTGAGCAGCCAGAGGCTCCGCCCCCCACCTCTCACCGCTGCCAGCACCTGGGCCTTCCTGGGAACCACTCACAGGCCCGCGCCACACTCACTGCTCTCCACCGCCCCTGCACACGCAAGTGCGTCCACGCACACACACGCACACGTGTACACACGCGTGCATACACGCACGCCCCACGTTTTATCCACCAGCCCGTGCCTTTATGAGGTTCTAGTTAAGGGACCAAACACCCATGCCTGGACCCCCTATCATCCCACACGTCTGGACACACACCTGTACGTGCACATGCATCTACACGTGCACACACATCTACACATGCACACACCTGCACACACAGCGGAACACTCCCCTGCGCAAGTCTACATACGCACACGTCAGTACGTACGTGCACCTTCACACGCCTAGATGTACACATCAGCAGACACATCACACACGCACACACCCGCACAAACGACATTTCGGGAATTGTTGTGACATCACTGGCCCAACCTGAAGCCCTCTGGATGCAGCGTGGGGCAGGTGCGGGTGGTTAGGCCTCTCCCCCAGAGGCCGTGACCGGGCTGGGCGGCCGGCTTCGCTGTGGTTCTCCTGAAGCCCTTACGAGATGAGCACTGGACTAGGAGCTCCATCTGGGACCTGGGCAGATACTTACACTCTTACACCTGCAACCTCCCTCTACTAAATGGGCCCCTGGGAGCCGAGGAGCCTGCCCGGGTGGCTAGCAGCTGGGGCGGTGGATGGACAGGCACCTGCGAGCTCTCGGGCGGCCCTGCGTGCAGCTGGAGACCGTCTGCTTGCGCGAGCTGCGGGACGTTGGAACAAGCCAAGGGGGGATTCGGGTCCTCGGTCCTGGGACGCAGACGCACGAAGTCCATCAGGGGGACTGTGGCTGGGCACCAGTCTAGAACGTCCCGAAGGGCCCGAGGTTGGGTCTGTGCTGGAGCAGGGCTGCGCTGGTCCCAGTCTGGGGCCCGAGAACTAGAACTCGGGCCCCAGACTGGGACCCGCACAAACTGGGCAGCAGTCTAGAACGTCCCGAAGATGTCGGGTCCCGAGGTTGGGTCTGTGCTGGAGCAGGGCTGCGCTGGTCCCCGCCTCACCACTGTCTCTCCTCTCACGAAGGTCACCATGTCAGCAGACACTGCAGTACCAACCACAGCCTTGGACACTGCACACCCTGTGGCCCTGACACCTTCATGGCCCATGACAACGACCATTCCGACTGCCGGCCGTGTAACCAGTGCCGGGAAGGTGAGTGTGCAGCTGCAGGCCAGGTGCGGTCCCACTGAGTGTTAAAGCACGCCCCTCAACCTGCCTTGTGGGGATCTCTCCGAAGGAGGTGACCGCAGACATGCGGGGAGATGGAGCCAGCACAGCGTCCCTCCCACGAGGTTTGGTTTCGAGAGGAAGAGTTGGTTAGGTTTTTTGCTTGTATCATGATGATACGTGTATACAGTTAAAGATGCAAGAATCAATCTACAAATTATTGGGTTTTTTTTTTTTAGAGACAGTGTCTTGCTTTGTCACCCAGGCTGGAGTGCAGTGGTACAGTCATAGCTCACTGTAACCTCAAATTCCTGGGCTTGAGCCATCCTCCTGCCTCAGCCTCCAAAGCAGCTGTATGCCACCACACCTGGAAAATTTTTAAATTTTTTATAGAGACTCGCTGTGGGGGGTCTCACTGTGTTACCCAGGCTGGTCTCGAACTCCTGGCCTCAAGTTATCCTCCTGCTGCGGCCTCCCAAAGTGCTAGGATTACAGGCGTGAGGTGCCATGCCCAGCCTCACAAATTATTAAGATTTTTAAGACTGTTTAGCAAAGCGACTATTTACAGAATTAATGTATGAAAGTTCACGTTAAACATACCATTTGCATTAGCAAAACATAGTAACAAGATACTTTGGAATAAATCTAGCAAAAGATGTGTGAGATAAGTTTATGTGAACTAACCGCATTTAAGAAGACCTAAGCATGTAGAGAGATGTAAGAAGCTTTAGGTGAGAAAACTCAGTGTTTTGGAGGCATCAGTTCTTCTCCATGGAAGATCCCAGCAGGAACTTTCTTGAAACGTTATAAGCTGGCAACTTCCAAAACACTCCCAAAGAATAAAAAGGAGATAGCACGCCGGCCTCCCAGATGTCAAGACTTTGTAGGAAGAGACAGTTAAGGTGACGTGACATCCACACAGGGAAAGGACAGTGGGCCAGTCGGCCTCGCCCTGCACAGGAGGAAGGGGAGCGTCCGCAAAGGAAGGTAATTCATTGTCCACACAGGAAAAGTCCCGGTGCAGGACCGGACGTTTCCACTGTCTCCACCACTCACCATACATAAAAATCAATTCCTGGGCGGGGTGCGGTGGCTCACGCCTGTAATCCTAGCACTCCGGGAGGCCGAGATGGGCGGATTGCTCGAGGCCAGGAGTTCGAAACCAGCCTGAGCAAGAGCGAGACCCTGTCTCTACTAAAAAATAGAAAGAAATTAATTGACCAACTAAAAATATATATACAAAAAATTAGCTGCGCATGGTGGCACATACCTATAATCCTAGCTACTTGGGAGGCTGAGGCAGGAGGATCGCTTGAGCCCAGGAGTTTGAGGTTGCTGTGAGCTAGGCTAACGCCACGGCACTCACTCTAGCCTGGGCAACAAAGCCAGATTCTGTCTCAAAAAAAAAAAAAATCAATTCCTACTGCATTAAAATCCATATATGACAAGTAAAACTGTAAGAAGAAAATACAGAGTGTCTGTGACTCTAAGGCAGCAGAATTTTTTAATGTAAATTATAAAAATCACAAACCATAAGGTAAGATTGATAAATGTGACTACAGTAGAATTTTATGCTTTGTTCATCAAAAGACAGCCAAATTTGAAAACTTTAAGCCATGAAGTGGGATAATTCATTTCTGATACTTATAACTTACATAAGATCAATATCCAGAACATGTAAAAGATTCTCGCTAATCAATAATAAAACATTTTTATTTTTTTCTTTTCCTATTTTTTTTTTGAGGCAGAGTCTCTGTTGCGCTGGCTAGAATACCATGGCATCAGCCTAGCTCACAGCAACCTTAATCTCCTGGGCTCAAGTGATCCTCCTGCCTCAGCCTCCCAAGTAGCTGGGACTACAGGCATGCGCCACCATGCCTGGCTAATTTTTTCTACATGTTTTTGGTTGGCCAATTAATTTCTTTCTAATTTTTTTTTTTTTTGAGACAGTCTCATTTTGTTGCCCAGGCTAGAGTGAGTGCCGTGGCATCAGCCTAGCTCACAGCAACCTCAATCTCCTGGGCTCAAGCAATCCTGCTGCCTCAGCCTCCCGAGTAGCTGGGACTACAGGCATGCGCCACCATGCCCGGCTAATTTTTTGTATATATATTTTTAGTTGGTTGATTAATTTCTTTCTATTTTTGGTAGAGACGGGGTCTCGCTCAGGATGGTTTCAAACTCCTGACCTCGAGCAATCCTCCCGCCTCGGCCTCCCAGAGTGCTAGGATTACAGGCGTGAGCCACCTCGCCTGGCTGGGATAATTGATTTCTGATACTTAAAATTTTCATAAGATCAATATCCAGAACATGTAAAGGATGGTCACTCATCAATAATAAAAAAAAATTTGTAATGAGGAGAGACACAGACATTCCAAAGATGAAACATAATCGGCAACAAATATATGAAAACATGGATGAATAGATACGCTGTTTCGTACCTGCCGGGTTGAGGAATTTACCAAGCGCTCCCTGAGACTGAGCAGAGGAGATTCAAAGTAACAGGAAAAGTGGAACAGAAACAGCCACTTTGGGAAACCTTTTTGGCATAATCTGCCAAACTGAGAACGTTGCTAAGCCACCGCCCGTGCCTTCCGCATCTCCACCCTGATCGGAACAGCCGGGGCCACGTGTGGTGACAGGTGGGGGAGGGTGTGTCGCAACCCAGGACCAGAAGCTTCCAAAACGCCCACCGACGCGGGTCCCTGCGACCGCGTGACTCGGCCGTGCGCCGCGCATGGCCCTGCCCGACGGCCTTTCCGGCCGCTCCCGGGCACGCCCCGCCGGGCTCGCCTGTTCAGGAGGGTCAGGAGGCTGGTGCGGTCCTAGCGAGAACACGGAGGCTGGACTCGGGGCTGGGGACACGTGTTCTTGGTATCAAGCAGGGGTGCAGGTCTGAGGGCCCCTTTTACTTTTATCATCTCTCACATGCAGTTCTTTGAACTCGTTCAGACAGGAAACGCGGCAGATGGCAAAGGTACCCGCTCCGAGAAGCTCTGCAGCCCGTGTTTAATCGCTGCCATCTCCGACGCGGGCGGGCCTGGTGCCGGGGCTCCGGGTTTCCGTGGCGGGAGCGCAGGCTGGCGCCTGGGAGGGAGGGTGTCGCGTGACGGCAGGGCTGTTGGCAGCAGGCAGGGGCTCGAGTGTCTCCTCTGTGGGACGGCACGCCTGCCTTTGACGTTTCGTTGGTATGGAACGCACAGGAGTGGTGTTCTTTCCTTTGCGGGGGGCAAGCGATGGAAGGGATGATTTGGGGCTGTTTCTGAGAGGCTGGCCCTGTCCCACCCCCTCAGCTTGCGGGGGCCCCCCACGGGCCTCTCCACAGACACCCCGGATCATAGGGAAGCAGGTCCGGTCGGTGCCTTTTCATGGTTCCTGAGCTAAAAGACCAGGCGAGGGCAGACTCTGGACCTGGGACCAAGAGCAGGTGACGGTGACTTGGCCGCATCGTGGCAGGGTGCCCGCCCGACAGGGCCATGTCTCTGGGGACTGACCTTAGCCTTCCCCCTTTGACAGACCAGGAGCCGGTGACCAACTGCTCCGCGACCAGTGACCGGCAATGCCAGTGCAAGTCGGGCCAGTTCTACTGTGACTCTGCGGACTGCATGGAGAGCTGCTTCCGGTGTAGCAAGTAAGGGGACACAGGGGCCGGGGTGGCCAGCCCAGGGGGCACGGGACCCCACTCCTTCGCGCATTGCTTGTTTGGCTTTGGGTCACTTACACAGCACTCCCAGCCTCAGTCTCCCCATCTGTAACATGGGGCTCACAGCGTAGCACCTGCCCCATATAGATGCCCTAAAGATTAAATCAAACAAGGGCCGGGCGCGGTGGCTCACGCCTGTAATCCCAGCTCTCTGGGACGCCGAGGCGGGCGGATTGCTCAAGGTCAGGAGTTCGAAACCAGCCTGAGCAAGAGCGAGACCCCGTCTCTACTATAAATGGAAAGAAATTAATTGGCCAACTGATATATATATAAAAAAAAGTAGCCGGGCATGGTGGCGCATGCCTGTAGTCCCAGCTACTCGGGAGGCTGAGGCAGAAGGATCGCTCGAGCCCAGGAGTTTGAGGTTGCTGTGAGCTAGGCTGATGCCACGGCACTCACTCTAGCCTGGGCAACAAAGCGAGACTCTGTCTCAAGAAAAAAAAAAAAAAAAAAGATTAAATCAAACAAATCCCTTGGATGTTCCTGCCTGTACTGGTGTCAGTGCTCATTCATTAATTCATTGGATGAATGAATGCTACACCCCGCTGTGGCCTGTGGGTGGCATTGCAGGCCTTCGGCCTCTAGCAGTGGGGGACACGGACGATGAAAACGCACATACGGTGTGAGACCAGCGAGTGGCATGCAGGGCCGTGGGGCCGTTGAGGACTCAGCAGTCAGGGCCAGTCTCTGCGGAGGCGGCCTCCAGAAGAGGCCTGAGGGAGAGGGAGCCATAGAAGGTTCTGGGGGAAGAGAGCTCTAGGTAGAGCAATGGCAGGGCTGTGCCCTGTGGCCAGAGCAGAATGACTGACCGCTGTCACTGTGTTAGTGTCCTCTGTGGCTGTCATAACACATGGCCACAAACCAGGTGACTCCAAACAACAGAAATGTATTCCGTCACGTTTCTGGAGACCAGAAGTCCGCAATCAGAGGTGTCAGCAAGGCCTCACTCCCTCCAGGGGCGCGAGGGAGGGTCTGGCCTCGCCTCTTCCAGCTCCTGGTGGTGGCTGGCAGCCTCTGGCTTGTGGACGCGTCACTCCAGTCTCTGGCTCCGTCGGCAGGGCCGCCTCCTCCGCGTGCCTGGGCCTCCGTGTCCACATTTCCCTCTTGTGAGGACACCGGTCATTGCATCAGGGCCCGCCCTACTTCAATGTGACCTCATCTTAATTATGTCTACCAAGACCGTATTTCCAAATAAGGTGACATTCTGAGGTCCCAGGTGGGCATGAATTTTGGGAGGACATTCTGGGGAGCCATTTACAGTGACAAAGCCACTTGCAAGTAGCTCTCATTAAACACCACTCAGACTGTGCTGGACTGTTGGCTCCTATACCTGACACGTCTGAAGTAAGGACTGCATTCAGGTCTGGCTGGATCAAGGCTCTGGTGTCTCTGGACTCGCTTGCCTTTCCCCCTCTCCATGGCTGGCTTCCCTCTTGGTGGAGGCGTGGCTTCAGCAGGCCCAGTCCTCCTAGCCAAAGACTCTATCCAGGAAAAGGGGGAAGATCAAGGTTCTTCCCCAGGTATCACAGCAGCCTCCTGAGCTTCACTCCATTAGACTAATTCGGGCCACGTAGCCAGGGAAGTGCCAGGCGTTGATTGCCTGAAACGTGGCAGGGCCATCCCGGGACCAAGGCTGGTCCCTCCTCAGCCTGCGCTGTGGGTGGTGTTGAGGCCACTCGGGGCTGAGCCTGGGTGGGGAGAGGTGACACTTGGGCTTTCCCTTCAGGTGTCCTGGAGGCAGAGAGCCCCTTTGGCCATGTAACGCCACGGCGGACACGGTATGCCCTGAGCCGGACGAGCCAGGTAAGGGGCCTATTCCGTCTCTTAAATCCAGGTGAGCAAACCTCCTCTGGAAGAGTGCATAGGTGGCTTTGCAGGCCACATGGTTGTCACTTGGCGTCTTTGCCGTGGCAGCAAAAACAACCAGAGACAATAAGTAAACGAATGTGCTTGGCTGTGTGCAGTAAATCACCTCCGTCACAGACCGCGTGTCTGCATGAGCCTGGGACTGTGTCCCCGTCCGAGGGCCGGAGCCCCTTGTCCCACGCCCCTCCGCGGCATTGTCGGGCTGCTCTTGGACTTCGTGTCAGTTTGCATTTCACAGTCAGCTTGTCTGTTTCCACAGAAACATTTTGATCACAGCAACACGCAAATACCTTTAGAGGATATATTAATACTAAAAGGGGGGGGTCTAAGCTGAGAAGAACAAAAAACCTTTAAGTGGGTGCTGGTGTTGTATGGACATGGCTCCACTGGCTTTTCTTGGTCATGGGGGTCACTTGGAGGTGGCCGAGGGTCCCCATCTCTAGATGGCCTGTCCCCTCTCCCTGGTGTCTGTGTGTCCTGGCTCTGGCCGTGCTGTGATTCCACAAGGGGTGAAACCGGGACACCCAAGTGGTCTCACTAGATGTCTCCCCAGGGTGGGGCAGCCCTCTCCCTTGGGCCACGGTGGCCAGGCATTGCTTTGACCAGGACCAGCACGTCCTCTGCCACCTCTAGGCTCCCGAGCTTTGCCTCCTGCCACCCAGGAGCAGATCCTGCACCCGGGACCGCCCACACGGGACCACCCGTGGGACAGCAGAGCCTCCTGCTGCCGTTCTAGTGGGACAGACCTCCTTCCCCTTCCCAGGGCCCGAGCGGCCCACGTGCTCTGAGCTTCTGGACCTGGACAGACCGTGATGGGGAATGGGGACCTTCGACAGCGTGTTACTCTGATAAGACAGCTGTGCTTAGCTCTGCCTCGGCCTTATCTGTTTTGCCTCCTTCTAGGACATGCAAACTTGTATTGGTTACTCCTGGTTCTGCCTGTCATCTTCATCATCAGCCTGGTCATCTGGTATTGCAAAAAAGGTAAATTAGGGCTAGATTGATGGGCGAGCAGAACAGACCAGCAGCCTCGGAGCAGTTTTGCGAGGTCCTCGCTTTCTAACTCAGGGCACCCTGGAGCTCAGCGGGGGGGCAGGCAGGCACTCCCTGGGAGGTCACAGAGTCTTGGGTCAGCTCGCTGCGGAGGGGGTGGCGGGGGTGCTGGGTGTGCCATGGGCTGAGCTCGCCTCCTCTGCTCTCCCAGGGAAACCCGTCATCCGGCAGTGCATGGCCAAGCTCTTCAAAGGTGAGTGCACTTTCTTTGTTGTGAGTTCAAAAGGTCCTTGTCCTGGTTATTGTGAACTGAATTCATGTCTCTTGTTTTTTATTGTCAGAAGAGTCAAGTGAGCCGGGCAGCTCTGTAAGTATCCCACTGTGGGTTGGGCTCAGCCTTCCTGCAGGTGCCTCATGGGGGCTTAGGGTCCCCGTCCAGTGCTGGGTGTTCAGGCCTTGGTGGCAGTAAGGTCCCCAGGACTTCCAGGAGTGGGTGTGGGCAGCCGCAGGCCTTCCTGCCTGTGCCCTCGGTTTCAGTCTGCGCAGTGGCGTCGCGCCCCACCTCGTTCCAGCCGCAGCTGCCTGTGCCAGAAGAAGACTGAAAGTCTGGCTGTTCAGACCACCCAGTGGAAACCAGGGCACGGGGGGATTTCCAAAGTTGCAGTCTTAGGTGCCAGGGGGTAGGACATGGCCTTATCTTTTTAGGGACCACAGCTTAGCCCACAACAGCTTGTCTCGGGCCCCCTAGGGCGCTAGCATTAGAACTGGGCCCTGACCGTGTGTGGTGTCCACCTCTAAACCTGCATGGCTCTGGCTTGCAGGCTGCGTGGCATTTCCTTCTCCAAAGGTGACTTGGCGGGGGCTTGCCATCCCTTCTCACCAAAACAAATAACTTTGTGCTTCAGCTATCTAGGAGCCCCTGCTGCCCGGGCCCCATGGAGCTCCTGCTGCCCGGGCCCACGGAGCCCCTGCTGCCCGGGCCCACGGAGCCCCTGCTGCCCGGGCCCACGGAGACCCTGCCACCTGCAGATGCTGACAGGGACCATCCAGCACCTGGCACGGAAACCACAGGGCTGTTGGAGGAAGAGAACTTGGCCTCGCCTCCAGAGGCCGAGGCTGAGGCCGAGACCCAGACCAGCCCTGGGCCCTCAGAGGACCCAGGTGAGAGCCCCGAGGGGCAGCTGCTGGCGGCTGCAGGAAGCGCAGTTGCCCCAGAGCGGATGCCGCACACCTGTCCTCCTGCTGCCCGCGGGCCCTGGGGCCGGCCCAAGGCCACAGCCTCCCTAGGGGCCCTGGAGCAGGTAAATGGAACTTGTGGGTGGGTCTGAATAGCAACGATGTCCGTGCTTATTGGACGCTTGCTGTGTGCAGGGTTCTGTGTTCGGTGCTACCACGCGTGCTCCTGGGAGGTCCCTGGATCGGTTTGCTAGGGCGGCCATGGCACAGTGGACACACGTGGTGGCTTGAACGGGAGTCTGTCTTCTCCCAGTTCTGGAAGCCGGAAGTCCGGGGCCGGGGTGTCGGCAGAGCTGGCTCCTTCTGGGGCTGTGAGGGAGAATCTGTTCCAGGCCTCCTCCCTAACTTCCGGCGATTTCCTATGATCCTCGATGTCCTTGCTCGTACAAGCGTCACCCCAACTTCTGCCTTTATCTTCACTCAGCGTTCTCCCTGTGTTCCTGGATCGGTCCAGATTTCCCCCTTTTATAAGGGCACTGTTCACGTTGGATTAATAAGGCCAACCCCAGTGACCCCGTCTTACAACTTTACCCTCTGCAAAGATCCTGTTTCCAAGTAAGGCCCCAGCACAGGTGCTGGAGGTCAGGACGCCACATATTCTGGCAGTGATTGAACCCACAGCAATCCCCAACCCAGAGTGCTGTCCCAGAGGACCATGGCACCCAGGGGCTCACAGTGTCCTCACCCAGGTCCTCTGGCTGGGCGGCACCAGGACGGAGGAAGTGGTGGGGCCCCGGGGTGCAGCACTCTTACTCAGAGGTGGCTCAGCCACCCGAGCACATGATTTTCTCCAAGTTGGGCTTGGCAGACCTCGGTTAAGCACCTCCTGTATACCAGGGGCAGCATCTAGAGGAGGCAGGCAGGGGCAGGCTGGGGGGGGGCGTGGGGAGTGTGCACATCCGTCCGTGGGAGGGCCAGGCAGGGGGACGCAGCCTCCTGGTCCAGCCTTGCACAGAGGAGCCGACCTTCCCCATCCTCTGTCAGGGGGCTGCAGGGAGCCGTCCCCAGCCTATGACTCCTGAGTCAGGCTTGGCAAGATAAGGAGACCCCTGCTAACAGCCCTGGGGAGAAGGGTCCTTTGGGCAGAGGAGACAGTGTGTGCAGTCGCTCAGAAGCGATGGAGAATGATCGGGAACCCCATCTCTGGGTCCTAAAGGCACAGGAGGTCAGGTGTTGAGGGAATGGGGCCAGGGAGGAGGTCGAGGGCCCTAAGCTGAAGGTCATGGACCCTTGGGACACCCCAGCACAGGCACTGAGGTTGACAACTCTGGGAATTGGGCACCGTGAGTCCCATGCCCTTGTGTGTCATTTCTGAAACTTTCATCAGATTCTCCAGAGGGTCTTATTTAAGAAAGAGAGGTTAGGCCCCCCCAGCCCATGTCATCTAGAGGCACCAAACAGGGCAGGGTGTGTGTTGGGTGTCCCTGTTGGGCTGTGCTGAAGGTGGAGCCGTTACTGCCCCTGGTTTACAGGTGAGGCAGCCGTGGCAGGGAGAGGGCAGTGTCCAGGGAGGCCAGCAGCTGCCAAGGGGCAGAGCTGGGATTTGAACTTGCGAGGTCTGGCTCTAGGCCCTTAGTGACCCAAAGGGAACCCCTAACCTTATCCGCAGGCCTTGGGAGCCTGGAGCAGCCCGTGTAAGTGGACAGTCAAATCCAGGCTCTTTCGGTCTAGGACACATTCAGATGTCCCTTCACTAGAAACGCACATTTAAGTCAGTGATGGTTTTTATGATGCATCTCTCTGGACGGGTGCCCTCCATTGGTATTGTCAAAGTCCAGAGTAGAACAAATCACCCCCAGGTGACATCGTTGAACTGTTAATAGCAGCCCCCCGTCCCCAGGGTCCGAGGTGCACACTCAGAGCAGCTGCGCTACCCAGGACCCCTGCCTGCCCACCGAGCAGAGCATCCCTGATGGCATAGGTGTCCAACTCGGGCCCCAGCAGTGTCCCAGGGAAGCACGACCTGGAGCATGTGGGTGGGCGTGAGCTCTCTGCTGCCTGTAGTGGGGCACAGTGGGGCCCACCCGCCGCCACGAGAAAGCCGACTGGTTCTGTCAGAAGCCCTGCCAGGGGCTGGACAGATTTCTTCTCCAGGAATAATTTGATTCTCTTCCCTCCACAGGAATATGCACAAAAGTATTTTTTGAAGGATACGTCCTGTAACGGTAAGCAATTTGAATTCTTCATTTTAGCAGCTGCTCAGAGTTAAATCTTTGGTGTGGACGTCTTTATTTCTGAGAAGGAACATCTGCCTCCGTGCAGTCACGAGGAGTTTTCCTGCGGACTTGAGATTCACTTTTCCACGTTCGCTGCTGACACCAGAGAAAACAGTCTGGTGTCCAATGCAGATTTTGTGGGCTCAATCTAGAAACATTGGGAGTTGCTTTTGTTTTGTAATATTTCCATGTTTTTCTGAAAAGATGTGAGTGGGTGGTAGAAATACCTCGTATCACCCTAGATGAGCAGGTCCCTGCTGGCTGTGATGCTACATTTTCTTGGCAGAGAAGTAAAGATTTACTGAGCACATGCTACATGCCAGGTGCTTTCTTTATCTCATCCTAACAACTCTGCAAGACCCACCCCCATTTTGCACATTTATAAATAAGAGGACCGAAGGTCAGGGAGGTTAAACTCGCCCTGGGTCTTGGATCCTACTGCTAACTCGCCCAGCAGCCTGGGGCCCTTCCCAGGGGGAGGAAGGAAGGGTGGGGCGGACCCCAACGGACTGTCCCCACGAGGCTTCCGACTTTCCCGGGAGCCTCTGGTTCCTTCTCCTGGGAAGGCCGGTGGCCATGTGGGGCTTGCGTGACCCATGGCCCTAGAGTGATGGATGGGCAGTGGGCAGGGTGAGGGGTGGTCCTGGCCTGAAGGTGGCCTCCAAATCCCAGGGCCTGGCCCCTTCTCCGGGACCAGCTGGGGCCGCGCAGAGCCTCCACGTCCTGGGCAGATGCTCCATGGTCTTTCCAGAAATGTAAGCACACTCTTCCTTCTTGTTTTTGTTTTCTTTTTTTTTAGCCACCAATAGAATTTATTATGTAATTGGACGTGAGGTTCCAAGAAGTAACTGGAAGATGTTTATGAGATTTATCCAACTTGGAGAGAATGAAATTGAGATCTGTGAACACGGAAATCAAGGAAATGTGATGGAACAGCATCATCAGATGCTGCTGCGCTGGAGAAATAACCTTGGAAAGGACGGTTCTGTTTTTAAGCTCATGGCTGCCCTCCATCAAATGGAGTTAGACGGGCATGTGCAAAATATTATAAATAAATTAATTGCTGAAAATATTTTAGGTAGGCATCCCGGGACCCCACGGTAGAGTCTTTTTTGGCACATTTGATGTTAAGCAGTGGCCTGGATGAATCGGATATGAGCTGCTTCTACAGCCTCTGATCTTGTTGGAAACGTCATGAATCCCAGATACAGCTATCCTTTTTATATGAAGCTTTTGACGGGGAGGTCAGTTCTGTGTACAGGCAAGGGTGCTTCTCTGCCAGAGAGCTGTCCTTGGCCTGTGTGCCTGAGATGAATTGTATGAAGCTTTTGACGGGGAGGTCAGTTCTGTGTACAGGCAAGGGTGCTTCTCTGCCAGAGAGCTGTCCTTGGCCTGTGTGCCTGAGATGAATTACGGAGGCTCCAGAGGAACCGCTGCCTTTGCCTGTTCACGGTCCTGGAAGCCTCTTCCCCAGGAGCTGAGGCTAGGCGGATTCGGTTGTTGCCTTTCTGCCTTGACCATTGGTTCTCATAATGTCTGTGAGGCTCCCATGCCTAGAACAGGGTGTGGTGCAGACTCATTGTTGCCTGGATAATTTATATATATGTATATATATTTTAGTTTTCCAGCTAATTTCTATTTTTTTAGTAGAGACGAGGTCTCGCTCTTGCTCAGGCTGGTCACGAACTCCTGAGCTCAAATGATCCGCCACCTCGGCCTCCCAGAGTGCTAGGATGATGGGCGTGAGCCACCGCGCCCGGCCTTAAGTGTTGATGCCAAAGATGCTCTTTCACCAAATATTGTACAATTGAGCAATATGTGCCTTAATAACTTTTCTTTTTTCGTGGAGACAGAATCTCACTTTGTTGCCCTGGCTAGAGTGCAGTGGCATCATCTCATCATCAGCCCACTGCAGCCTCCAACTCCTGGGCTCAAGTGATCCTCCTGCCTCAGCCTCCCAGTAGCTGGGACTACAGGCGTGTACCACTATGCCCGGCTAGGTTTTGTACTTTTTGTAGAAATGGCATCACTCTTGCTCAGGCTGGCATCCTAAAATGCTAGGATGACAGGCATGAACTACTGTACTTGGCCAATAAATTTTTGTTTATGTAATAAAATTGTTTCTGAAATAGTGTTTCCTCTCATTTGGGTGGGTACACACACCTTGGGTGGGATATCTGAGTAGGTGACATCATGCACACAGAAGGCAGGAGCCCCAAGCAGCCTGATGGGATTGAGGGTGAGGGAGGACTCTGGAATGGGGTTCTGAGAAGGAGATGGAGCAGCCTGTTCTGGCTTGTAGGTCTTCCCAGGGGTTTCTGCCCCCAGGGAACGATAGCATGGCCCACCTGTTCACCCAAACAGCAAATCTAGCCCCAGTCCTTGGGAATATGAATCAGCCTGCTTGTTTCCATCCTGCACCAAATATCTTCAGCTTCTGGGTTCATCATTAAAGCAAATGTCACCACAGCCACCCAACCAGTCTCTCTCCACCCAGAAACTGGGGTGTCATTCCGGACTCCAGCATCTGCCTTATCCCCCCAGCCTGCCAGGCATCTCTCAGACCTGTCTGCCCGCTTAGCGAGTCCAGGCCACGCTTTCCTCGTCTGTAGACGATGGAAACCGCTTTCTACCAAAGAGCCCTTCTGTCTTCATTCAGGTTTTCCTGAACCCAGGCCCCTCCACTCAGCCCTGTCACGACGCCGCCCCGAAGCAAACACCTGCTCCTGTCTGCAGCCCTCGGGGTGTGTCTTTGCCACCCTTGCCTTCGCCTACAAAGGCCTTCCAGAAGCCCCACCCTTGCCATGCCCTGCGGCCGCACCGCGTTGTCCCGGTGGCCGGCCTTCTGCTGGGTCGTCTGCAGGACCGTCCCTCGCGCCACCCATCCCCAGCCCTTGCTCCAGGCCCGTTCCCGCCCGCGGCCGGGTCTGGGCCTCAGGGCGCTTGCTGGAATCTAACCCAAACTCTTGCGCCTGGGACGCAGTCTCTTCCTCGTAGCCGGACGGAAAGCTCCGGGCGCCGGCGCTGAACGCGCTGCCGGAGACTCTCAGGGGCGCTGGTCACCTGGGAAGCCGACCGCCACTCCCAGCATGCCCCGGGCCGGCGGAGTCAAGAGCGTGCGGCGGTTGCCTAGCGACCGGGCGTGTCCCGGAAGCCCGGTCCTGCGCGGGGCGGGACTTCCGGGGGCGATGGTTGCATCAGATTCTGGTAAATGTCTGTAGCCGCAGCCGCGGGTCCCGCATTCCCAGGCATGGCAGGTTCCTCTGCGGAGCAGGGTGAGAGGCGCGGCCGGCCGGGGGCCTGAACGGGGTCCGTGGCGGTGGGGTCCGGGGGCGGCCACCGGGCTCCGGGATCTGAGGGGCGGCTACCAGGGTCTGGGGTCCCCGGGGCGGCAACAGGGGGTCAGGGGCCGAGAGGGGCGGCGCGGGGTCCGGGGTCTGAGGGGCGGTAGGGGCTTGGGTCCGAGGGGTGGCCACCGGGGTCCACAGTCCAACGGGCGGCCGCGGTGTCTGGGGTCTGAGGGGCGATGGGGGCGCAGGTCAGAGGGGCGGCCACCGGGTGCTGGGGACCGAGGGGCAGCAGGGTCCCGGGTCCGAGGGGCGGCCGAGACCCGGGCGCGAGGGGCTGTGGAGGGTCTCTCGGGATGGAGTGCGGACCCCGCGGGCCCCCGACGCCTGCCCGGACCCTGCCGAGGCCACCCCCTCCACAACCTCAGTTTCCGAATTCGGTTTCAGCTGAGGCCCCTTGTGCCCCAGCCGGTGCCTGGGCCTGGCCCTGGCCTTGCTCCCTCCTGCCCCAGCTGAACCTTGGGGGAGAGGCAAAGGCTCAAGGGTTGTTTTGATTTTCTACTTAGACCGGGCAGCTCCCCGAGGGTGGGCGGAGGGCACCTGAGGCTGGTGCTTAGGGAAGTGGGGCAGAGGAAGCCAGGGGTACGCGTACACACACATCAAAGGGTTTGGGGTTTTACAAAGGCTTTTATATCCAGTTCCGCCAACAATCACCATTGGGATCTGCCTTGTCAGAGCATTACTGCTCCACTTTACTGCCAACCCCAGAGGTTCGTGGAGGAGGCAGCTGGGTCACTCATGTCTCCAGCTGGTAGAGCTCCAAAGAGCAATGGGGCTTTTCTCACTTCCATTCAGCAAGATTTTAGGTGCTGGAAAGGCCAGAGATTCTGGCCCAGATTCCTAACAGTCTGGAGCACTTTCCAAAGGAAACATTCTCAGTATCTGTTGTAGTTTTTAATTCTCTTGGCTGGCAGAAACTAGATATTGTTCTTCTAAGACACCTCCAGTCACTGCCCCAGTTTAGGTTGTACCAAGATTTCCTTGGCATTCTGTGGTGCCCCTTGCTCCTCAGGGTTTGCTGGGTTCCAGGTAGGTAGATCTGACCACCTGGGTAACCTGCTGATGTGGGGGTGCCCAGATGACAGGGCTGCTCGTCATGGCATTGGGGTACATTCCTATACCTGGTGGAAGCAGTAATCACCTTCCAGGCACGCTGCATTCCACCCTACCTGCATGCCTGGATTCCAGCACCATCTCCACCCGACCCAGAGCCAGGCAGCCCTCAGAAGTCCACCCAGACTCCTGTAAAACAGCATCGAGCTGCCAGTCCCAACTCCAGAGCCAGCCTGGAAGGGCCAGGGTCCCAGCTCTGCTCCTTCCTCAGAATAAAATGGAGGCAATTGTTCCTACCTCAGAGCATTCTGTGAGCATAAATAGTAGATGAAAAGGACTTAGAACAGGCCAGGCATGGTGGCTCACGCCTGTAATCCTAGCACTCTTGGATGCTGAAGTGGGAGAATTGCTTGAGCTCAGTAGTTCAAGACCAGCCCAAGCAGGAGTGAGACCCTGTCCTCTACTAAAATTGGAAAGAAATTAGCCAACCAACTAAAAATAGAAAAAATTAGCCATGGCACTCACTCTAGCCTGGGCAACAAAGTGAGACTCTGTCTCAAAAAAAAAAAAAGAAAAAAAAGATGTATAAAATGAGAACACTAGGCCGGGCGTGGTGGCTCACACCTGTAATCCTAGCACTCTGAGAGGCCAAGGCGGGTGTATGGGCGTTTGGGTTCAGGAGTTGGAGACCAGCCTGAGCAAGAACGAGACCCCATCTCAACTAAAAATAGAAAGAAATTAATTGGCCAATTAAAAATATATAGAAAAAATTAGCCGGGCATAGCGTCTGTAGTATCTGTAGTCCCAGCTACCCAGGAGGCTGAGGCAGGAGGATCGCTTGAGCCCAGGAGTTTGAGGTTGCTCTGAGCTAGGCTGATGCCACAGCACTCTAGCCTGGACAACAGAGTAAGACTCTGTCTCAAAAAAGAAAAAAAAAAAAAGAAAGAAGGGAGAGAGAGAGAAAGAGAAAGAAAGAAAGAAAAGGACTTAGAACAATGCCTGGCATATAATAAGCACCATGTCCATGTTGAAAACTAGAGCCTGTTTGTGTTTTAAGTTAAAAGTGTTTTTGGTTTGTTTTTGAACATAAATGACATATTGAGGGTTTTTTTTTGTTTGTTTGTTTCTTGTTCTTTGAAATTAGTCTAGACCTTTAGGTGTTCAGAGCCTTATAAGAGTTGGCTTGTTTTTGGAGCTTGCTGTGTAAGTTGGGATGAACCCCCCAGGCTGTCTGGGCAGCGTGCAGATTTCCCAGTCCTAAGCCTGAGGGCCGAGTGTCTGGAAGTGCTCTGCAGCCGGCCCCTGCTTATTTCCTTACTGCCCTCTCCCCCGCCACCCGCCCACACGGTCCCTAGGTTCACCCTCAAAGATAAGAACAGTCCTTCCTCTGAGGAAATAAAACAAAATCACTACTGGAGGAGTTCTAGATATTCTTGGTTTCCAGTTTCTGAATGTTTTTTATTCCCAAAGTTGAATTTCTCAAAAGTGACCATCTTCTCAGGTTTTTCAAGGAAGGGTCCCCATTTCCAGATCATCTTCCCTCAGTCAACTCAGAACGTCTATTTCTTGTTGGCGACCTCATTGGTTTTACAGCTTCTCCTTTGTAGTCTTGAAGGTGCACAGGCCCAGCACCCAGCTGGGGCCCGATTGTCTCCGAAGGACGAGTTTCGCTTCCGAGACTTCCAGGGTAGTGGAGCTCACCCCAGGGACCTTTCCCTACAGATTGGGACACCACTTGGTGGCTGCTTGTTAGGTCAGACTTACAGTTTAATTTTTTAGTACAACTCAATTCAAGGGTCTTCATCATAATACAGCCAGCATTTTTTCAGCACGAGTGTGTTCCAAGCACTGCTCCAAATACTTTACATCTGCGTCTCCTGTAATCTTCGGAGTAGTCCTTTGGGGTGGACCCTGCGGACATCTTCCTGTACAGGTGAGAACCCTGAGGTTCAGAGAAGTCAAGCAGTTTGTCCAGTGTCACAACTAGCCAGAGGCAGAGGCAGGGGCAGGCTTCAACCTTGGGAGTTTGACTGCAGTGGGATCTTAACCACTGTGCTGTATTGCCTTTGATGCTTCTTCTGTTCAGAATAACCGAAGATTCCTGAGTGAGTTCAGGTCAGGCATCAGGAGAATAAAGCTGATGTATTTTGGTGTGTTTCCCAAAGCAAATTGAAATGTACCTATTTATAGGTTACAAATGTTTGCTCATCTGTAAACTCAGGTACCATGTTTGCAGGTATTTACGTTTTTGGTTTTTTTTTTTTTTTGAGACAGAGTCTCACTCTGTTGCCCAGGCTAGAGTGCCATGGCATCAGCCTAGCTCACAGCAACCTCAAACTCCTGGGCTCAAGCGATCCTCCTGCCTCAGCCTCCGGAGTAGCTGGGACTACAGGCATGCACCACCATGCCTGGCTAATGTTTTCTATATATATTTTTAATTGGCCAAGTAATTTCTTTCTATTTATAGTAGAGACGGGGTCTTGCTCTTGCTCAGGCTGGTTTAGAACTCCTGACCTTGAGCGATCCTCCCGCCTCGGCCTCCCAGAGTGCTAGGATTACAGGTGTGAGCCACCACGCCCGGCCAGGTATTTACTTTTTTAAGAGTCTTGGTTGGGTGTGGGAAATCACACCTGTAATCCCAGCACTTTGGGAGGCCAAGGCAGGAGGATTGCTTGAGGCCAGGAGTTTGAGACAGCCTAGACAACATAGTGAGACCCTGGCTCTATAAAAATATTAAGAATTAGCTGGGCCTCGTGGTGTACAGCTGAAACCCCAGCTACTTGGGAGGCAGGGCCATTGGGGTAGAGATTGAGCCATTTCCAGTGGTGGTGCCATCTGATCACACCCAAGTGTCTCGGTTTGTGAGGGACAGGATACTCCCAATAATCAATAACTTCCTTCCCAGTAAGGAGGAAGGTGAAAGTCTCTCTCCCAGGGGCAAGAGATGATGCCTGGGGACGCCGCTTTGGATGAGTGACAGCTGGATTTCAGGGGCAGGTGCTCAGGAGGGAGGTGGGAGCCCTTGGTCTATGGGAGGAGGCTTTGGGCTCTGAGGATTGGGCAGTGTTGCCTCCAAGATGGTGAACGCAGGCTTGCACATACCTCTCTCCTCCCCAAGGGTTCATGTGGGGGAGCATTTTTCAGTCCCCTTTCTGAGAGCTCCTTGGGCTGGGGTGGGGGCTGGGGTGGGGTGGGCCCAGGAGGAGCAGCTATGGAGGGCAGCGGGGCCAGGGGAGCTGGGGGGAGCTTTTGCAGAAAGGGAGTGATCTGTGGGGCAGGCGTTGCTGGGACACCTGCAAGATGAGGACCCCGGTGGGACTTCAGCAGGAGCAGGGGCAGGGGCAGTGGGCAGAAGGTTGGGCTGAGGGAGGAGTACAGACCCCTGCTGGACTGATGAGCTTCTTGGGAGTGTCATGTCACCTGTGGTGCAGGATCTGCATGTTGGCAAGCTGCCCGCCCTTCTGGGGTGGAACACTGAAGTTTGGAAGCCCTGGTACAACACAAGTCTCCCAGAGGCTGCTTTAAGCCCCACATGCTGGGCCCACCCCAGAGAGTCTGATTTGGCAGGTGGCAGGTGGGCCCAAGAACGTGGCTTCTGAGGAGCTCCCAGGTGCTGCCGATGCAGCAGACCACGGCCACGCTTCGAGAGGTGCTGGAGATCCTCTGGGGAAGCGGGGAGAGGAGCAGGTGGCCAGGGTTTGAAATGCCGAGGGGAGGGAGCCAAGAGGAACATGCGACTCACCTGGTGTGGTTTGGTTCCACACCTGTGCTGAGCCATGGCCTGCTACTTGGTCTGATTTCAACAGATGTTTTGTAAAGACTCCAGCTTCGTAGGTTGTGATAGTCACTGTCCACCTCTGGGACATTTCCACAATCAGTGGGTGTCTGTCCTTTGGCGTGTTTGGGCCTGAGCTGCAAAGTCACCTGGCAGTGGAGGCAGAGCAGGAGTGTCAGCGGGGTGTGCGGACCCCGAGGTGAGGACAGACTTGAGGAGCAGGTCCCTGGGAAGTTGTCTGCCTGCTCCGAAGTGTGCTCGTCTCGTCGCAGTGTCAGACGGATAGGCCACAGTCCGGCCCAAACCCATGACCACCTGAAGCTGACCTCTTTTTGTTTCCTCGAGACACATAAACGCAGCAGCTACAATTACCCCAGTGACTGCCTCTGTCTCCGGGAGGCCCGTCACCCACCTGCCTCTCTGGGCACCAGCACCTTCCTGTCCCGAGAGGATCCTTCCCAAGCGTGGGCTTTGCTCCTTCCGACGGTCAGGGCTGCTCCAGTCGGTGCGTTTACAAATGAGCAAGTGCTCCCCGGGCTGGCTCCTCCCAGGAACCTCCGGGCGTAACACGGGGCTGCTATAATAATTCTAATAATACAAGAGTGATTATAGTAATAATGATGGCAAACTGGGCACTGGCTCTGTGCCAGGTAGCTTTTAAACATTTTACGAGTATAATTGCACTTAATGGGCCACAGCTTTACGAGGCGGGTGTTGTTATGAGCGTGTTTTACAGGAGGAAAGGCAGGTGGCGTGAGTGCGAGCGTCGGTCAGGGCCGGAGCTGCTGGGGCGTCACCAGCCTCCCGGGAGCTTATCCCTCAGTGCCTTAAGTTCTCAGTCTGCTTCTTTAGCACTTGAAAAACGTTGCAGTCGTTAGAACATTTTATGTTTTTCTCATTTTAAAAATAGCATATGCTTATCGTAGAGAATATGGGCGATGCAGAAAAAGAGGGAAACAAAATCACTCCTGTAGGCTCGCTCATCAGAGATGGCCACTGTCGGTGTTTGGGTGCGTCCCTCCTCTGTGTCAGGATCTCTCTGAGTGTGGGAGGCACATTCTGTCTCCTTGCTAATGGGGTAAGGGGTGGCGGGACCTGGAGCTGACGCGGTGTCGCTATTTCTCAGAGCACAGCTGCCATCTCTCTCCGCCCTCTCGCTGCCATGGAGCAGGTGCACGAGAGCAAGGCTGGAGACAGGGAGCCTGGAGGGCCAGCATAGGGCTCAGCTTCCAGCTCAGTCCACAGCTCTGGCAAGTTCTCTGATGTGTCTTTAGTGAACTTCATTTTCTTCATCATAAAATACTACTGCTGGCAGCCACCTGCAGGCTGCCGAGCTGTTGGCAGGAAATATCCAGGCAAAATAGAAGTTTCCTGGAACGAAGTTGCTCTGTGGAAGTGTCTCTGAAGAAGCCTGATATTTATTAAAAGTTTTCCTGGCCCTGGCTTAGCGGTGCTCAGAGCTGCTGTGGCAGGGCCGCCCGCCTCCCGCCTGGGTCTCGATTCTCCTTGCAGAGGGAAGCCTGGCAGGGCCGAGGCCAGGCCCTGTAGCCACCAGGGCTGCTCCTCAGAGCCCCCAGGCTGGGTCCTGATAGCCTCCTGCTCAGGGAAGGAAGGGAAGCTGGGGGAGCCTGGAACCCCAAACCCCCGGCACCTTCAGCAGGGACAGGGTCTGCCTTTGTGTTCCTCTTTGCTTCATGTGATGGTTGTAAGGACTGAAGGGGACAGTGACTTGTTCATGTGGCTCTGGCCCAGAAAGCCCTTGGAGGCTGAAAGCAGCAGAGGCCGTGGCCAGCCACAGCCCTGGTTCCTGTGCATGGCGTCCTTCCCTAGCAGGGCATCCAAGGCCCCAAAAGATAGGTGGGTGTCAGCCCTGTCACCAGCCTGCTGCCCACTCGTCCATTCACTCACCAACTGTTCCAGCCTCACGTGGTGGCTGAAGAGAGAGCAGCGAGAGCAGCGGACAGGGCGGTGGGGCAGGCAAGGAGGGAGAGCAATGAGAGGAAGCGAGCGCTATGGAGAGCAGCTGCAGGACGTGGGGACCGGGCCCTGCTCACCTGCGGGGAGCCCTTGAGGGCTGAGTGGGACGTTGGCTGTGTGCAGGGCTGTGAAGGAATGAGGAGCCTGATGGGGTGTGAGGACCGTGTGACTACGGTGGGGTCAGCCCGAGGCCAGCAGGAGGACCAGCCTCTGCTGCTGGGGAGGGGCTGGGGACAGTGATGTGAGCCTGCACTTCTCAGCAGGGCCCCGAGATCCGGCTGGGCATGGGCTGGCGTGGGAAAGGGCCGGGCCACGTTGGGCTGCGGTGGCAGTGGCAATGTCTGCCTTGCAGGAGTCCAGGAGAGGGGGACTGGGGCTGGGGACAGTGCCTGGTTCCCAGACCCCACGGCCATGGTGATCACAGCGGAGGTTCGTCAGAGTAGCGAGACAGACTTTACCCAGCAACCGCTGACGGGGGAAAGCTGCGCTCCGTCCTGGGAAGGACGGGGGAGGTGCGAGCAGGGCCCGGACCGTGTGGATGGGCGAGGCAGCTGTGACTGCCACCTGCGCTGGGAGTTCTGCCTGTCCTCCTGGCGATGGCAGTGCTGCAGGACGGCTCTGGGGCCTGGAGAGGCGCGCTGAGCGGCGGGAGTGCACTTGTGCGCCCTTTTGGCAGACACTGTCAGGGAGGGCGGTGGGGCCAGTGGTGCTCTCTGGGCAGCCTGGAGCCTTCTCAGGCTGGGTCCTCCTGGGCCATGGCCTGGAGCTGCTGGAAGCCGTGCTAGATCCTGGGGGTCTCTGTGCACGGGTGTGGGCGGCGTCTGTGGTGCTGTGCCAGGAGTTCCACGCTTCTCCCCCACCCTCATCCCCTGGAGGGAGAGGGGCGTGGGCTTAGTTTGGTTTTGGGTTTTTTTTGTTGTGAGTTTTATTTTTTGTTTTTTTTTTTTTTTGAGATAGAGTCTTGCTTTGTTGCCCAGGCTAGAGGGAGTGCCATGGCATTAGTCTAGCTCACAGCAACCTCAAACTCCTGGGCTCAAGCAATCCTCCTGCCTCAGCCTCCCGAGTAGCTGGGACTACAGGCATGCACCACCATGCCGGGCTAAGTTTTTCTATATATATATTAGTTGGCCAATTAATTTCTTTCTTTTTATAGTAGAGACGAGGTCTCGCTCTTGCTCAGGCTGGTTTTGAACTCCTGACCTCGAGCAATCCGCCCGCCTCGGCCTCCCAGAGAGCTAGGATGACAGGCGTGAGCCACCACACCCGGTCTTGTGAGTTTTTTTAATTGAGGTAAAATTCACATAGCCATTCTCACCTGGCAAGGGAGGTACCGTGAAGGTGACGGTGTTTTTCCCAGAGTGAGGCTCATCCGCTCGCTGCACTCCAATGTGCAGACCCCTATGACGTCCCCAAGTGTGGGACACTGGACTGCGTGATCTGTGGTGGTGGGGGACTGCGTCTGTGCTTTCCACTAAAATTAAAAAAAAAAACATTTTTTGAAGTCACGTGACATGAAATTAACTATTTTAAGGTGCACGGTTGAGTGGCAGTTAGTGCGTTCATGATGTTGTCCGCCATCACTTCTACCCATTCCAGAACATCCCCATCACCCCAGAGGACACCTGGGTCCCCTGACAGCTGCCCATCTGCGTGCTGTCTCTGTGGGTGTGCCTGTTGTGGATGCTTCGACACCTTTTCCCTCCACGCCACGCGTTCCCCCAGGTCCCTGTCCCTATGAGGTCCCCGGCGTCCTGCCTGATGCCCTGTGCTCTGTCTTTGCAGCTCCTGACTACAGGTCCATTCTGAGCATTAGTGACGCGGCAGCCAGGGCCCAAGCCCTGAACGAGCACCTCAGCACGCGTAGCTATGTCCAGGGGCACTCACTGTCCCAGGCAGACGTGGACGTGTTCAGGCAGCTCTCGGCCCCGCCCACTGACCCCCGGCTCTTCCACGTGGCTCGGTGGTTCAGGCACATAGAAGCGGTCCTGGGCGGCCCCTGTGACAAAGGCGGGCCCTGCGGGCTCCAAGCAAGTGAGTAACAGCGGGTTCCCCAGCCGTCAGAACCTCTCCCCAAGGTCATGGCTTTCTCCATCACCCCTCGGGTACTGGCGCTGCTTGGCAGCCGGTGCCCCAGGCGGAGCCTCACCCCAGCATGTCCGAGGCGCGCGGCCTGGCAGGGAAGCGCTGTTGCCGCTGGGGGAAGTTAGGGTAAAATCACACCCGTGGAGTTGGTTCTTCAGGAATAAGATGTTCCCGGTGTTGGTGTAGCAGAGTTGCCCTGGGTGACGGGGTGCAGAGCCACTATAAATGCGGGCCACTTGGGGGGCCCAGCAGCACGCCCAGGCTGCAGGCCCATCCTTGTGATTTTTAGCTAAAGCTGTGCCTAGCTCTGATTTGACTTGGTTCTTTTTCTTTATTTTTTTCCATAAGATTGCAGTGTGTTTGTCCTCCGGTTTTACCATCATCGAATCTGAAAGTGTTGTTCATTCACCTTGAACTTTTTAAAATTCACAAATAAGTTATTTTTCCTCTGTGAGGTGAAATCGGTATTGTAGATTCAGTTCTTGCTGGCTTCAGTGCTGGTTATGTCTATGCAGCCTGGCTGCAGATGTGGGGGGGAGACGCTTCTGGAGGGTGTCCAGGGCTCAGGTACACGTGTGGTTTGTCCCTCCTCCGTGGTGGATCCAAGAGTGCTGTGTCCGTCACCACTGGATGCCTGGGAGTGGCTTGGCTGTGGGCCCTCCCCCACCTCCATGTGGGGGTGGGCTTTGTGCTGTCTTCTGGTGGTCCCCACTGTGCCTGGCAGCCTCCTGGGGGGCTTTTCCAGACCTCTTTGGGGCAGGAGATTTGGAACAACCTACCCTGCTTCTGCCGGGGCTCAGGCCTCTGCCGGCACGGCTCCACCGGGGTGGAGGTGGGGAGTGGGATCTCCTGGGGGAGAGGCGTGTTCTGTGTTTCTGGATAGTTCTGTACCACACAGTGTGTAGGCCGTGTCCTTCCTTCTGCAGCTCTTCCTGCCTGTGAGTCCGGTGTGGTCACCCAGGAGACATATGTGCTCTTAGGTGCCACCTCTCCAGGGTTCTAGTGTCAGCTTGTCCCCCTGCCAGGCCCCTCTGAGGCTCAGCCAGTGGGGGCTGGGATGAGCGAGGGTCACGCAGGTGTGTCTTGTGCAGTCCTCTGTCACTGGGACTTGTTACAAGAACAAGGCCGACGCACACCACCATCCACGCTGTGAGATAAAGGAGGGTTTTTGCCCCTGCGAGCACCTTATGACCCACAGAGAGGACAGCCCCTCGACGCAGAGAGCCGGTCTGTTGCATATCAAGGGTGGTGCAGGCCATGGGCCTTGGGCAGCACTAATAGGGTTGTCCTGCTGCCTCCAGGTTCCAAGTCCTCTGACCACCCAGACTGCCTAAGAGGCCACCAGGGACCGCGCGTGCCCAGCAATGGTGGACATTAGGCTGGGGGCCTGCAGGCCAGTGCACATGAGCTGGGGCTGGAGGTGAAGGTGGGCCTGGAGCCCGGGGACACTGCTGATCATCCAGTGGCCTTGGGCGGGACCCAGCCCCCTCGGAGCCGGTGTCTTTGCCCACGCCCGACACGGGGGACTGGTGCCCCTCCTCCCACTTGCCCTTCCACCTCTGCCGGCCATCCCATCGGCGTCAGACGTGCCCATGTCCAGCCCTCCGCACACTGCCCGTCACCTGTTTCTCCTGGGTGTCCTCTCTGAGACCACGGCCTCTGCAGCCCGAGGAATCTGCTCAGACACGCGGGTCGGCAGGGCTCCGCTTCACTCAGGGGCTGCTCCTGCAGAGCCAGACCCCTCCCGGGGCGCGGGCCCGGCTCCCGCCCAGCCTGGCCTCTGTTCTCTCTCCTGCCCTGTCTCATCAGCCTTCTCTCTGTGGCTCCAGCACAGAGATGCACTGGATCTCAGGGGCTTGAACTTGGTGGGTGCTTCTTATCCCAAGTAGGGGTTCAGCCTGTTCACGCCCCAGGAAGCAGCGTCAGGTGTACCCCTCACTGAGGAAGGAGGGTCTGTCGAACTCTGAGCTGTGGTGTTGGGAATGTGAAAGTTCAGCATTGCTCCCTCCTCTCAGGCGGACGCCCTTAGCTTCCTTACGCTGTGTGTCTCTGTGGCCCTTGCCGGGTCCTCTCTGCCCCTGCCTCGAGGGCCTGCCCCAGTGGAGTGCCTGACACTGCCGGCGTCTGTCCTACCCTCCTCTCACCTTCCGTCTCCCCAGAGCCCCGTCTTTAGGCATGTCTCATAAGTGGTGTGTAGTTATTTTGCCACTGGTTCTCTTGGGTCAGGGACTTTGTTTCTCCGTGGTATTCCTGTGCCCGGGACAGTGCCTGGCCCATAGGGGACCAGGTGTGTGTCTGTGGAGTGAACGGACGTGTGTTCACTGTTTCAGAAGAGACCGAAGCAGAGGTGAGAGTGGTGCCGTGCTGGCTGCTCGTCCTGGCAGCCCACGTGAAGCGCAGCAGGAACGCCGGTTGGAAGTGTCAGGCTGTAGGGTGTTGCACAATGGCAGGGAACTCTTGATAAAGGTGAGCCCAGTTCACTCAAGGGGGCAGTCAGTTGTGAAAAACAAGGGCCCCGTGTGATGTCTCCCAGCCCTTCCCGCATGCAAGTCTGACCTTTATATGCCAGAGTTCCTCGGAACCCGTCACCAGCTACGTGCCAGTAGCAGCCTCTGTGGGAGCCAGAAAGCCAACACGTGGCCTGGCTTCTCGACGAGGTGTCAGTCCCGTGAACCCTGGACCTTTCTTGCGTGGGAAGGCAAGCGCCATGTTTGCATGGCCTCACCCTGGCTGCAGCAGAGGGCAGCGTCTCCAGACGTCCGAGGTGGTGGCAGCATCCTTGTTGCAGGAGCTCCAGGGTCCTCCCGAGGGAGGTGGAGCACCGTCCGTCATTAAACAGGACTTTCCTTCAGCACTGTGTGATGTGTCTAAAGCAGACCCGTGGCCGGATTGCTGTTTACGCCCCTGATCCTAGAGCTTTGGGAGGCCAAGGCAGGAGGACAGCTTAAGCCCAGGAGTTGGAGACTAGCAACATAGCTAGGCCCTTTCTCTACAAAAAGAAATTTAAGAAAATTAGCCGGGCATGGTGGTGCACACCTGTAGTCCCAGCTCCTCGGGAGGCCGAGGCAGGAGGATGGCTTAAGCCCAGGAGTTGGAGGCTGTACTGAGCTATGATGACGCCACTGCTCTCCAGTTGGGGCAACAGAGCGAGACTGTCTCTTAAAGAAAAAGAGAAAGAACGAGAACCCATGAGGCTACACTTGGCCTTAGTGAGTATCAGTGTTGGATTAAGATTCAGGTTTCCCACATGTTAGAATCTGTGACCACCTGTGACTGCTGCTGAGCTCTGTCTGTCTCCCTCGCCATCTCCTGTCCCAGACAACACACACACAGTGCAGCCACCTCCCTTCGTCCCCTCAGCCTGTTAGTCTCCACTGTCCTCTGTCCTGGCTCGCATGGCCTGGGCAGGAGTGGGGGGACCAGGAAACGGCGGCACCCAGGACCAGCTGCCCCCAACTGTGGCAGTGGGCACCTGTGTGTGGTGCTCTGCCGGCCAGGCTCAGCAGGGCTTTGAGTGAGGCCTGTGTAGGGCTCACCTGTCGGCGGACCCCCTGGCACAGGAGCCGGAGACAGGGAGGAGGGGGGAAGCAAGTGCCCGAGGACTGCTAGGGAAGATGGGGTGGGGGCGGGTCAGTGCTGAGAGCTTCTATCTTGGAGGCCCAATGAAGCCCTTTTTGGGGCAGACGCCGTGCTGGGTCAGAGGTGCGTGGCAGAGCGTGGCTCTGGGCGAGGACTAAGGAGCAGAGTGGATTCAGCTGAGGAAGGTGGCAGCCAGCAGGGCAGGCTCAGTGGGTGGCAAATCACCAGGTGCCCTTGGGGCGCTGTCTTTGCGGGAGGGAGGCTCAGGTGTGACTTGCGCTACTGCAGGCCCCAGTGCCGGCCCTGTGCCCCTCAGGGTCTCAGAAATGCGGTAAGGACAGCCTCTTGCTGATCTGGAAGCGGGAAGGGCCTTGGGTGTACGTGGGCAGAGGCTCGGGGGCAGCCCCCAAGTTTGGAGGGGGGAGCGGCCAGAATGCACTGAGAAGGGCACCTAGGTGGTGGCAGGAGCAGGGAGCAGGGAACTGCCTGGGAGGAAGTGCCTGGACTGGGGCCAGGTGGGCCAGCGAGGAAGTGCTTGAGGGCTGGGGAGGAGCTCAGGGGTGTCTCTGAAAGAGACAGCAGGACAGAGTGGTGTGTCAGAGCCGGAGCGTCGGGATCAGAGTCTGTGAGGCTACTGGACCAGAGCTGGGGGGTGGGCTGGAGCCACGCGTGTCCTGCCTGCCGTGGGGTGTGGCTGTTTCTGAACTGACCCCTGACCTCTGCTGTCAGGGCTTGGAGGTGGCCTGTGTCCACAAAGAGTCCCCCAAACCCTCACCTTGCCCAGGAGAAGGATCCTGGGAGGAGGGTCCACAGGGCTACGGTAGCACACACTGTCCCAGTCAGGCCACACGCAGGATGGTTAGTGCCGCCGCCCCCCCAACCCACGAGCCACAGGCGGCGGCGTGCGCACAGCCTGCAAGAGGCAAATATTTGCAGAGCAGTGGCCTGTGCTTGGGTGCTTCTCAGTCCTGCAGGGGTTGTTAGGGGTCACCGGGATACACCCCCACACGGAATGGGAGCAGAGCAAGAGCAAGAAGCAGCTGTATTTGGTGTGGAGCGTGTGTGGCTCAACACTGTTTCATGTATCATTAGGAGTAATAGTCCATAGTGGAGACAAAGTCTCCAGATGAAGTGGCCACTTGCATTTCCCGGCACCCCTGACCTGAACCCTGATCTTTCTGCCTCCCAGGTAAAGGCCGTTGCGTGCAGCCTCAGTGGTCCCCTCCCACGGGGACCGAGCCGTGTAAGCTCCGCCTATACAACAGCCTCACCCGGAACAAGGTAAGGAGGGCTAAGACAGCCATGTCGTGTGCCTGTGAGGGGACGGGGCAGGGACGGTTGTGGGCCTCAGGTAGCAAACTGCTGTCTGCTCATCACGCTGGGCTCTGGAGTCCCGTAAATCCAGGCTTAAGACCTTTCGGCTGCTCACTGTGTTGTACTCTGTGGCCGGAGGCGGGGCTGTCCCGAGACTCAGACACACTGCGAGCCAGGCCTGCTGGGAAGCCTGCCCATTGGCTTCCAGGCCTGGATCACCCTGCGCTGTCTCGCGGGCCCTGCCAGGTGTGAGTGGGCGCTGGCGGCCTTTCACGCGGGCACGTGGTTGCCGCAGGGTCACTGTGTCGGCCGAGCAGCAGTGCAGCGTGGCCGGCCTGTGGGGCGGTGTTGGGAGCCCAGCCGGTTTCCAGAAGGCAGAGTTGGTTCCTGCCTGAACGGTTTACCTGCTCCGTTCTGTGCAGGGCATGGCTGGCGGCTCCAGAGATTTCAGAAAGGGCTTGGCCGTGGGTTGACTGGAGTTTTCATCAGCGATCACGCTTGGGAGACAGGGAGAGAGGTTCATGGGCAGTTCGTGGTCTTCCTTAGGGAACTGGTTGACGATGACGTCTCCTGCAGAGAGAGGTCTGAGGGTGTTTGGACGCGGCGGTGCGCGCCAGAGCAGCCACGAGCAGGGCTCTGATTCAGGGGCCCGGCTGCCGAGCCAGGCTCCTCCAGCAGGGACAGACCCCAGCCCATGCTCCCGGCCCGAGTCTCTTCAGCTGTGGAAAGGCAGTAGGGTCGCCGGCCTCCTAAAGGTGTCGCGTGGAGCAGACGTGACTCACTTTGAGGGATTTAGTTCATGCCTGGCACGTCACAGGTGCTCCATAAATATGAGCTGCGAGTGTTGTCAAGTAAGCAGCATTTCAACCAGAAATACGAGTGTGTGTTCCCCTTATCGCCTCCCGCCATAGAGGAGTAGATCCCAGGGAAGAAGAGGCTCGGCCCACCCGAGGCTCATGGGAAGGCGACACCGACTGAGACAGTCTCACGGTCCCTGCGCAGACCTTCGTGACTTCTCACGGTGCAACAAAACGGTCCTTGATGAATTCGTTTGTACAAAACAGACCACACTGCGATACTTGTTGCTACTTTTGGTGATCCCTGTGTAGTGTTTTTGCATTTCTTGTGATCATTGTTCCTTAATTCCTAACCAAGGACGTGTTTATACCTCAAGATGGCAAGAAGGTGACGTGGTACTGCTGCGGGCCAACCGTCTACGACGCATCTCACATGGGGCATGCCAGGTAGGGCCCGGCCGGCACTCCGTGATCTGCCACAGCACCCGGGCTTTGAAAGGAAGGTCAACCCTGGACTTCTCTTATTTTTAAGATGAAAATTTTAGTTCCACAAGTAATCCCTATTCACTGCAGAAAGAGTAAAGATCACCATAAAGAAAAACGTCCGTAGCCCCATTGTGAATATCCTGGGCTCCACCCAGACACTTCCCTGTGTACCTTAAAGTGTTTCCTCATCCTTCAAGCTTTGGTGGGGGTCCCTGGGGGCTGAGTGTCTGTGACGCTCAGACCTGAGGCAGGGTCAGCCATGAGCCCCCCTGGAGGGTCATGGCTGTAGCCTGTGGAGAGTAGCCAGCTGTTGGGGTGAGTGCCACGGAACCTTGTTCCTTGTACGTGTTGTGAGTGCAGTGCCGAGATTCTGCACGGCTGACCCTTGAATAACACAGGGGTTGGGACACCAGCCCTCACGCAGCTGAAAATCTGTGGATAATTTTAAGTTTTATTTTATTTTTTATTTTAGCGTATTATGGGGGTACAAGTGTTAAAGTTATATATATTGCCCATGCCCCCCTCCCCCCTCCAGTAAGAGCTTCAAGCGTGTCCATCCCTCATGTGGATAATTTTTGACTCCCCCAAAACTTGACTCCTAGTAGCCTAGTACTGACTGGAAGCCTTACTGATGTCATACACAGTTGATGAACACATGTTTTTGTGTTATGTGCCGTATTATGATAAAGTAAGCTGGAGAAAAGTTAATGTTATTAAGAAAACCCTAAGGAAGAGAAAATATATTTACTATTCATTAGGTGGAAGTAGATCATCATAAATGTTTTCATCCTTGTCATTTTCTCATGGAGTAGGCAGAGGAAGGGGGGGTCTTGCTGTCTCAGAGGTGGCAGAGGCAGAAGAAAACCCACACATAAGTAGACCCACACGGTTCAGATCCGTGTTGTTCAAGGGTCAGCTGTGCATATTGTACAATTTGGAAATGTTTGGTTTTTTCATTGCTTTAGGTCCTATATCTCTTTTGATATCTTGAGAAGAGTGTTGAAGGATTACTTCAAATTCGATGTCTTTTACTGCATGAACATCACAGATATTGATGATAAGGTAAAGGGGTTTTAGATACATTGGATGACATGAAGAAAGACAGGACTTCTGCTAAGTAAATAAAATAATGTAGGCTTGAGCTAGCTCAGGTCTTGACCTAACAAACATTATTGGAATCCCCTCCCTGAATTGATGTAACAGTTTATGCTATTGATGTAAATGTAATCATGTGTACAAATGTTTGGATGCCGTTAGAAACCTGTGTGTGTAGGGGTCGAGTTGGTTAAGTGTCGCTGGCCCCTAGCGCTGTATGGCAGGGAGAGCTGCTGTGACACACGCTTCCGTGTGGCTCTGCCCGGGAAGCTGGGCCCTCGGGGCTTGTCTCCTGAAGCCCTGGAAAGAGCACATCAGGCACTGGGCACTGCGTGGCCGGTGGGAGGTGGAGGGCAGTGTTTGCGCTCGAGGATGCCGTGCGCGGCTGGGACCCACGGCTGTCCCCGTCCCCACGCCATCCTCACCCTCCCTGAGTGTTTGCCAAGGGTGAGAGCGGCCTGTGGCGCACAGGTGAAGGTGGGCTCTGAGAGCGACCCCGGCGTCTGCTTCCCTCTGCAGATCATCAAGAGAGCCCGGCAGAACCACTTGTTCGAGCAGTACCGGGAGAAGAAGCCGCAGCCCGCACAGCTGCTGGAGGACGTGCACGCCGCCCTCAAGGTGCGCCCCGCGCCCTCTGCTCTGGTCCAGGCCCTCGGGTCCCTCGTGGGTCACTGTCTCCAGGGTAGTGTCCGTCTCAGCTCACACTTCGTGAGTGGTACTTGAGCCAGTTCCACGAGGGGCACTGATGGCCCCCTGGCCTGTGAGAAAGTCACCGGGAAAGACACGCTGGGCTGGAGTGGGACGTAGGTGATGCCCCTGCCACTTAAGGGAAAACATCTGTTTTATCGCGATGCCACTAATTACACTTACTTGTAAAAATGCTTACTAACATTACTCTCTAATCTTCAACATCGTGGTCACAACTAAATCAAAAGCTTCTGACAAGATGCAGAAGCTGTGCTAAACTTCTGAAATTGGTAATACTGTACATTTTCAGAATTATTTGAAAATCAGTTCTCTCCAATTTAACGTTTTCATTCTGAGTAAGCATTGCTATAAATGTGTAGTTATTTGTATCACGTAACAAGATGAGAATAAATTGTTTTGGCTGGTGTTTCCTGCCTGTAATCCCAGCACTTTGGGAGGCTGCAGTGGGAGGATGGCTTGAGCCCAGGAGTTTGAGGTTTCAGTGAGCTGTGTTGATGCCACTGCACTCCAGCCTGGGCAACAGGGTATTTCCAAAAAAAAACCATTAGAGCTTAGCAGTCTTTTAGGCCCACGAGGCTCATGTGCTGTCGTGATGGAGGTGCTGCCAGCACATCTCAGAGCTCCCTAGGTGACCGCTTTATTTTATCCCCTGGAAGTATAGCCCTGGAGGAGTGTACTCACACTCAATTTGCATTGGAGAAACTGAGGCACGAAGGGGTTTAGCGCCCTACCTGAAGTCACATTCGAGGAGGGGCAGTGCCAGGAGTGCCTGGGCCAGGGGCTTCGAGTCTCTTGGTTGCCACCCTGCTGCTTGGGGCACAAACCTCTTTATTGCCACGGGTCACCGGGGAAAACTAGTCTCTTTTGCTGAGCGGTGTCTGATAAGTTTAACATCTCCTTGTGGTTGTAGCCATTTTCAGTAAAATTAAACGAGACTACAGATCCCAATAAAAAGCAGATGCTGGAGCGGATTCAGCACGCGGTGAAGCTTGCCGCGGAGCCGCTGGAGAAAGCCGTGCAGTCCCAACTCACAGGAGAGGTCGACAGCCGTGCGGAGGTGAGATTTAAACGCACCCTGGCAGCCCAGCTGGTAGCTCTGCCATGATGGTGGCCCAGTCTGTGGTGGCCGAGTCGGTGCCCCTCCCGTTCTGCACCCACTTGCGCTGTTTCCCGGGGGCTCTGCACCCCGTGCCACTGGAGTGAGACTTGGGGTCCGCTGGAAATCCGCCCCGTGTCCCTCCCCCCCCCATCACTTCCACCAGACAAGCAGGAGGCACGTGGGGACCTTGGGAGAGCAGCCTTTGGTGGGAGTTATTCCCCAATTATGCACTGGGCACTCCTCAGCATTTCCTAGTGGCAGCAACTGGAGAAAGAGGAGCAGGAATTAGGGGTGAAGTGAGCATGGGGGCCCTCACCTTGGCTGGGTCCCCTAGGGCACCGTGGAGCTGGCCTTTCTCCTGTGCGCTAGCGCCCTCTGTTGGTCACCCTTTGAAAAGCGCCATGGGGGTGAGAAGGGGGACAGAGGCTGGAGGAGGGAATGCACCTGGGAGAGACACCCTGCTGGGGCTGTAGGGATCCTCCATCCTCGCCCCTGCCCCGTGGCCCCTGCCTCAGCCACCAGTGGCCTGAATTCCGTGTCTGCTCTTGGCGCGTGTTTCTTTGCAGTTGTATCTCTCTGTGCCCCACACGCCTGACTGCTTGGCAGTGCTCATTTCCAGCTTTGAGAACGAGTCGCGTGTGCATGGTCTTTGGTGTGCTTGGGCCTTGCTTCTGGGGACCACAGGTGGTAGCTGTCCCTCCTCGGAGCATGCCTGGCTGAGCCATCTGTCTGTTCTCCTGGAACCCGAAATTAGGTTTCCTTGTGACCAACTCTGCTGCCATAATCTTTTCCCTCTTTCCACATTTTAAAAATCGTGTCAAATCACACACAAAAGTTTACCATCGTAACCGTTTTTAAGTATACAGTTCATCGGCCTTAAGTGCATTCACAGTGTTGTGTAGCCACCACCATTTATTTCCAGAACTTTTTCGTCTTCCCAGTTGGAAACTCTGTCCCTGTTGAACACTAGCTCCCCAGCCCCCGGGGCCCCGTCTGCTTTCCATCTCTGAATCTGACTACTCTTGGGAAGCCGTGTAAGTGGCATCTGCAGTATTTGTCCTTTGTGTCTCACTTCTGTTCCTTTGGCCACATTGTCCAGCCCTGTCTGTCACAGGTGTCCGGTGGGGAAAGACGCTGCATCTTGGTTTTGTTCTTCAGATGTGGTTTGAGGCCCCAGCTTGTCGAGTTCCATACAAGACACCACTGGAATTTTATTTTATTTTATTTTATTTATTTTACTTTTTGAGACAGAGTCTCACTCTGTTGCCCAGGCTAGAGTGCCGTGGCGTCAGCCTAGCTCACAGCAACCTCAGACTCCTGGGCTCAAGTGATCCTTCTGTCTCAGCCTCCCAAGTGGCTGGGAGTACAGGCATGCGCCACCATGCCCGGCTAATTTTTTTTTTTTGTGTGTGTATATATTATACATATATATATAATATCTTATTTGTTTTTGGTCCATTAATTGCTTTTATTTTTAGTAGACAGGGTCTCACTCAGGGTGGTTTTGAACTCTACATGAGCAATCCGGGCCTCGGTCATCACAGGAATTTTAAATACTGTATCTGGAACCTTCTCTGAGACCCAGCTGGGCGGTGCAGACCCTCTCTGGTCCGTCTGTGTTGTCAGTTCTTGTTCTTTCTTGTTCTGCTGCTTTCTCCAGCTTAGTAGGCCTTGTCTCGTCTTGCAGTTTAGCTTTCGTTCTAGTTAGCTTAGGCATTAGTATATCTCCCACGTTAAACTTTGCTGGCTTAAAGAAATTTTTTTGATTAAAAAAGATTTATGCGTAATTCTTCCTTGGTGTACTTCTTGCTGCGAATTTCAACACCATTCACTTGCGAACAACTTATATTTTCTTTTTTCTAACCGGATGTCTGAAGTATGTTTTGTTTTGTTTTGTTTTGTTTTTATTGATACAGAGTCTCACTTTGTTGCCCAGGCTAGAGTGAGTGCCGCGTCGCCTGATCACAGCACTCAATTCCGGGGCTACGATCCTCGCTGCCTCAAGTCCCGAGTAGCTGGCTCAGGCATGCCCGACCATGCCGCAATTTTTGTTATTTTTAGCTGTCATTATTTTTCTATTTTTGGTAGAGACGGGTTCGCTCAGCTGGTTTCATCTGACACTCGGCGAGCATTCGCCCGCCTCGGCTCCAGAGTGCTAGGTTAAGGCGTGACGCCCCGCACCCGGGCTGAAGTATGTTTAAATTCAAAGCGGGATTTTTTAGGTTAACTTATGGTTACTGATTTGAACTTGATACCCATACTGGCAGTGTGGCCTGTCCCTTGCTGGTCTATGCACAGGATGTGTGTGCGCACTGCGTGTGCTGGTCTCTTGAGTGTTCTCTCCTGAGAAGAGTTTTTGGGTTCTCTTGTCACTTGGTGCAGAATTCTATGTGCTATTTAATTCGTCATGCTTGTTAACGTGCTTTTAATGTTTTGTATCCTTTCTGCTGGTTTAACCTATTCAGAAAGAGTTTGTTAAACACAAACAAAACTCCTCCTCTGACAGTGAATTCGTCCATTTCCACCTGTTTTATCACTTTAAGACTGTGTATTGTAGAACAGATTCTGGTTCACGTCAAAATTGAGGGGCTACTGTACCCCCTGCCCACCGACACACGGTGTCCCCCACCGTCTACAGCTCCTCCTCAGTGGGCCTGCCCTGACACGATCGATTGTCACCGGCAGTCACGTGTAACCGGCGTTCGCTCTCAGTGTATGTGCTTGCAGGTGTGAAAGTGCGTGCTCCCATATCCATCCCCCGCGCCACGCAGGGTAGCTTCACCGCTCTGAGCGTCCTCTCTGCTCCGGCCATTGATCCCTCCCTCCCTTCTCTGAGCTCTGACAATGGCTGATGTTTTTACTGTCTCCATGTTTGCCTTTCTAGAATTGTCCTGAGTGGAATCGTAAACGTGTGCTGCCTTTTCAGATTGGCTTCTGTTTGAGACAAGAAAAAACCAAAGTGTTGCCGGGCGCGGTGGCTCACGCCTGTAATCCTAGCTCTCTGGGAGGCTGAGGCGGGCGGATTGCTCAAGGTCAGAGGTTCAAAACCAGCCTGAGCAAGAGCGAGACCCGTCTCTACTATAGATAAGAATTAATTGGCCACTAATATATACAACAAATTAGCTGGGCATGTGGGCGATGCTGTAGTCCCAGCTACTTGGGAGCTGGCAGGAGTATTGCTTGAGCCAGGGTTTGAGTTGCTGTGCGTAGGCTGACGCCATGGCACTCACTCTAGCCTGGGCAACAAAGTGAGACTGTCTCAAAAAAAAACAAAAAAACCCACAAAGTGTCTTTCACACTCTCAATACAGAATACTTAACCTGTGGTCACCAAAGGGCATGGGGATTTCTTCCCCACCCCTGCCCTGACAACTAGCCGGTTCGCGGGCAGGCACTGGCTGGGTGTCCTGTAATTAATTCAGTTCAGCTTTCACGCTGTGTACCTGGAGATAGCATCAGATCCCATGGGCTGGGTGCTCAGCCCTACAGACAGCCATTTGGAAGTGGTAGGTTGTCACCTATACTCTTGTATTTGGGGATTTTCCACTTTGTGTTATTGATTTCTCGTTTCATTCCATTGTGGTCTGAGAGCGGATATTACTGTTCTTTGCTGATAGAAAGTGTTGAAGCCTCCAGCTGTGATACTGGATTCATAAATTTCTCCTTGCAGTTCTGCTGCATTTTGGCTCACACGTTTTGACGCTCTGTTGCTAGGCACGTGCGTGCTACAGGTCTCTGTCTTCTTGGAGAACTGAATCCCTTCTTCTGTGGTGCCCGTCTTTATGCCTGGTAACTTCGCTGCTCTGGAGCCTGCTCCGTCTCCTCTCTTTGATTGGTGTTAGCCTGGGGTATCTTTCTCCATCCTTTTACTGTTAGTCTGTGTTTTCATATTTAAAGTGGGTTTCTTTTTTTTTTTTTTTTTTTTCGAGACAGAGTCTTGCTGTGTTGCCCAGGCTAGAGTGAGTGCCGTGGCATCAGCCTAGCTCACAGCAACCTCAAACTTCTGGGCTCAAGCGATCCTCCTGCCTCAGCCTCCCAAGTAGCTGGGACTGCAGGCATGTGTCACCATGCCCGGCTAATTTTTTCTATATATATTAGTTGGCCAGTTAATTTCTTTCTATATAGTAGAGACGGGGTCTCGCTCTTGCTCAGGCTGGTTTCAAACTCCTGACCTCGAGCAATCCGCCCACCTTGGCCTCCCAGGGTGCTAGGATTACAAGTGTGAGCCACCGTACCCAGCCTAAAGTGGGTTTCTTATAGACAGCACATAGTTGCGCCTTATATTTTCATCTAGTCTGATAATCCATCTTGGTGCATTTATACCATTGACATTCAGAGCGATTATTGATATAGTCGGATTAATATCTATTAATACCATACTTTTTTACCCATTTCTATTTTTTTTGCTCTTGTTTTTTCTTCCACTCTTTTTTTGGCTTTTGTGATTTTAACTTTTTTTTTTTTTTTTTAACTATTTTTAGTGGTTGCCCTGGAGTTTACAACCAATCCAAGTCCACTTTCAAATGACATTACACTACTTCACCAGTAGTGTGAGTAACTTATGATAACAAAATAACCTCTTTCCTCCCTCCTGTCCCTTGTGTCATGCTGTCACTCATTTTACTTTTACACGAGCATATATACATAAGCATATGCAGTGAACACATTATTGTTATTATTATGTTGAACAGATTATCTGTTAGATCAATTAAGAAATAAAAAATGAAAGCTTTTATTTTTTATTTTACCTTCACTATTCCTTCTTCAGTGCTCTTCCTGTCTTTATGTAGGTCCGAGTTTCTGACCTTCATCATTTTGCTTCTAAGAAAATTCTTTTAACCTTTCTTGCAAGGCAGGTCTACTGGCAACAGATTCCCTCAGTTTTTGTTAGTCTGAGGAGGTCTTTATTTCTCCTTCATCTTTGAAGGATAATTTCAGAGGATACAGAATTCTAGGCTGGTGGCTATTTTCTCTATATGCTTTAAATATTTTACTCCGCTTTCTTCTTGCTTATGTGGTTTCTGCAGTGAAGTAGAGTATAATTCTATTTTCTTTTTATTGAGAGTGGGGGTCTTACTATGTTACCCAGGCCAATCTCGAACTCCTGGGCTCAAGCGACACCCCCCCACCCCCAGCCTGCTGAGTGGCTGGAATTACAGGTGTGCCGCACCAGATGTAATTCTTATCTTTGCTCTTCTCTGGGTAAGCTCCTCTGGCTTCTTTTAGGATTTTTTTTTTCTTTATCTTTGAATTTCTGCAGTTTGCAAATGATATGCCTGAGCGGGTTCTGGCATCTGTCCTGCTTGGTGTGAGCTTCCTGGATCTGTGGTTTGGTCCCTGACACTAACGTGGGGAAATTCTTAGTCGCGATTATTTCAGATGTTTCTTCTGTTCCCGTCTCTCTCTCTTCTCTTCCTGGGTTTCCCGTTCCACGTTCTCACACTGTTTGTGGTTGTCCCACAGTTCTTAAATATTCTGTTTTTTCAGTCTTGGTCCTCTTTGGTCTCCAGTTTGGGCGGCTTCTGTTGCGATGCCCCGAGCGCAGAGACCCCTCCCTCAGCCCGTGCAGGTCCTCGAGAGCTCATCCGAGGCTGCTTCGCCTCCTACCCGCTTTTCCTCTGTAATGCTCCTTTTTGGTTCTTTCTTTGGATTTCCATCTCTCTGCTTCCGTTGCCCGTCTGTTCTTGAGTGTTGTCTGCGTTATTCACTGGAGCCCTTAGCATGTTAATCATAGTTCTAAATTCCAGATCTGATTATCTCAGCACATCTGCCTTGTCTGGTTCCAATGCTTGTTCTGTCTCTCCGGACTGTGTTTTTTGCCTTTTCATGTGATTTTTTTTTTCTTTTATTTTTGTCCTTAGATCCAGGGAGACAGACTGAATTGTGATGTTTTTCTTGATAGCTGGACATGGTGTATGCATCAGAGAGCCTGCTGTGAATGGCTCAGCAACATGGTGTCACATGTGGGGCAGAGGGGCGTTCTGTGGTTCCCTGGGTCTCAGTCTCTTAGTGAGCCTGTGGGGGTGCTGTGAACTTCACAGGTGTTCCTCAGCCACCCCCCTATTTACCTGGAGCAGGAGGGCTGGAGCTGGCTGGAGTTGGAGATGCCCCCTCTGCCAGGTGTGAGGCCAGACCCTGTTAGGTTTGCGTGTTTCTCTTCGTTGGGTAGATTCCGGTTGATAAAACCGGGGCTCTGGTTAAATGGTTGTCCTGCGGGCACATTGTTAGGAAGAACAGAGCGCTCCTGTGGTTCCTGTTTCCTTCTTAATGTGGAAGCACCAGGAAATTTTTCTCCAACATTCACTATGAGGACCTGGTCAAGATCTGGAGGGATGCCGGACGCGGTGGCGCGCGCCTGTAGTCCCAGCTACTCGGGAGGCTGAGATGGGAGGATCGCTTGAGCCCAGGAGTTCTGGGCTGTAGTGCGCTATGCCGATCGGGTGTCCGCACTAAGTTCGGCATCAATATGGTGACCTCCCGGGAGCGGGGGACCACCAGGTTGCCTAAGGAGGGGTGAACCGGCCCAGGTCGGAAACAGAGCAGGTCAAAACTCCCGTGCTGATCAGTAGTGGGATCGCGCCTGTCAATAGCCACTGCACTCCAGCCTGGGCAACATAGCAAGACCCCGTCTCTTTAAAAAACAAAACAAAACAAAAAAAAAGATCTGGAGGGAAAACCCACAAGTGTGGGGGCCCTCCTGTGACTGGGTCACCCTGGAGTTTTTAACTCTCACACTTGCCTGCACTTAGCCTACAGCAGTTTGTTGGTTGCAGTTCTGCTTTTCCTACCCGGCAACCGGTTCCCATGGAGCTTCCAGCTTGGGAGTCTGTCCCCTGGTGACTGGGACTCTGCTGTCCTCATGGTCCCCAGTTTGGGGACAGCAGTTTTCCCTGTGACTTCCCTTCTCTTATGGGTCTAAGAAGAGTTGTTGGTTTTTTAGTTTTTTCAGGTTTTTACCCGTCGTTAGGACTGAACTTCCAAACTCCTTGCATGTAAGGAATTGGAAACCGGAAGTCTCTAGCACTTTATTATTTGTACATTTTGATTGGTAATCTGTGTGCTTGACCAGCAACTCTGCGTGTTCTTATCTTTAGGCAAGTTATAAACACTGTTCTAGAAGTGTTCGTGGGAATCAGCTTTTGTATATGTCAAAACATGTATTTCACTGTGTTTGTTAAAGTTGGTTTTGCCGGATGTGCAGTTAAGGTTTGTGGTTCTTTTCTCTGAGTACTTTGGGGATTTTTCTGCTGTCTTCTGGCTTCTGTTCCTGACTCTCTTCTGGCTCCTATCTCTTGTTGAGAATGATTGGCTGCCCTTAGAATTGCCTTTTTTTTTTTTGAGACAGAGTCTCACTTTGTTGTCCAGGCTAGAGTGAGTGCTGTGGCATCAGCCTAGCTCACAGCAACCTCCAACTTCTGGGCTCAAGCAATCCTCCTGCCTCAGCCTCCCAAGGAGCTGGGACTACAGGCATGTGTCACCATGCCCAGCTAATTTTTTCTATATATATTAGTTGGCCAATTAATTTCTTTCTATTTATAGTAGAGACGGGGTCTCGCTCTTGCTCAGGCTGGTTTCAAACTCCTGACCTCGAGCAATCCGCCCGCCTCGGCCTCCCAGAGCGCTAGGATTACAGGCGTGAGCCACCATGCCCGGCCAATTCCAAGTTGTTTTAGCAGCAGGAGGGGTGGCTCCTAAGCCTTTCTTTTGTGAGTAAATGTATCTTTTCTGTCTGGCTTCTTATAAATGCTTTTTTGATTTTCTGCAAATTCAGTAAGACATCATAAGAGACTTTTTCTTTTTTTGAGATGGGGTCTCGCTCTGTTGCTCAAGCTAGAGTGCAGTGACATCATGAGAGCTCACTGCAGCCTTGAACTCCTGGGCCCAAGTCATCCTCCTGCCTCAGCCTCCCAAAGTACTGGTATTGCAGGCGTGAGCCACCATGCCTAGCCTATGATATTTATTTTTTACTTGTCCTGTTGGGTATTTTTTGTGCTTCCCAAGTCTGTAGGTTGTTGTATCAGTTCTGAGAAATTCTCAAATGTGTCTTCAAGTGTCACCTCTGTTCTATTCCCTCTTTCCTCTTCTCTGGGAATCCAATTAGAAGTGAATCACATCTTTTTGCCTCATACTTTGTGTCTAGTAACCTGTCTTTCATATTTCCTTTCTTATTTCTATTTCACTTTGGATGACTTCTTCAATTCTGTCTTCCCATTCACTAATTCTCTTTCCAGCTAGCTTACCTATCCTATTGAGTGCTTTTATTTCGTCAGTGGATATGTTTCATCTCTGAAAGTTCCATTCCTTTGTATTTTCAAATCTGCCTGGGCCATTCTGACAGTATTTTATTGCCTGCTATTGCTTATCCTCTTGTTATTCTATCTTTATTTCCTGAAACATTTAATACTTATTGTGTACCTGATAACTGTAGTATCTGAAGCCCTTGCAAGTACCAGTGTGTTGTTTGTCTTCTCCACTGACTCCCATTCATGGTTGTTCGTGTCCTTGGGCATTTGGTGACCTTGATTAGGATCTCATTCTTGCTGGCTCATGATCTGTGGTGATCCTCAGAGCCAGAACGCAGATGCTCCCCTGAGAGCCAGGGGCACCACCCACTGGGTCACCACAGCCCCCTCGAAGGTTTCTGTCCCTGCGCTTGTGGCAGTCCTAGTGTTTGTGTACTGGGCAGCAGACCTGGCAGCCTTTGCCTCCCTGGGCACCTGCTCTGCCTCGATGCTTGTCTGTCCCCTCTGTGCCCCACTGTGACGGGAGGGCATGAGCACCCTTGCAGATTTGCCTTGCCACTTAGTGAGCCTAGCAGCATAAGTCTTTGTTATCTGGGAGCTGTTGGCAGGGAGTGCCTGGAGAGCCTGGCCCGTGAGGGGCCGTGTGCCCTTCTCTGTCAGTGCCGTGGATGCTCGGTCCACCTGGCATGTCCTTGCCCCCTGCCAGGTGGTTTTGCTGCACTTACTCTCTCTGGCCTCCGTTCCTTGCTTCCTGCTCCCATGGTAGACCACAGTGCAACAGCCCTGTCCCTGTTCCAAGTGACCATGCTGAGAAGACTAGATTCCTCCAAGGCAGGTTGAGGATGGACATTTCTGCCTTTTGACACGAGTGCAGTGAGGACGTGTCTCATACCTACAGTGTGGGGGTCATGGGGCACTGGCACACAAATGCCATGTTGTGGAGGACTGGTGGCTTTTCCTCCTATTCTGTGGTGCATGAAGTGGGATGGGTGTCTTCACTCAGTGCCATCTGGGAGATGGCACCTTCGAGACCTCCAGGCCCAGGGCCCTGCCCATCTCTCCTGACCTTTGGCTGTCTTCATCCTGAATCTTTTTTGAGTGCACCAAGTATCAGTGCTGTGGGTGACACAGTGTGTGCCCTCCTGCCCTGCCTCTGTCCGTGACCCCACCTTGCAGGAGCCAGGTTGCTCATCCTCCCCAAGCCCACCCTGCCCCAACTCGCCGTGCCTCCAAACCCACAGCCCCTCCTGAGTCTGCTCTCCCGTGTTCCCGTGAGAGCCTCCCACTTGTGGAGTGTCGTGTCTAAGCATCGCTGTCTCCTGGAAGACAGTGACTCTTCAAGGATCGGGCCGAATGTGGCTCATCTTTGAACTTGGGGCACCGATTGGCTCACACGACCGTGTGAGGTGTGCTTGTGCGAAACCCAAAGCCTGTTCGTGGGTGTGTGTTTCTGTCTCCAGGTGTTGTTGGAGGAGGCCAGGGACCTGCTTTCTGACTGGCTGGACTCCACACTCGGCAGCGGGGTGACCGACAATTCCATTTTCTCCAAACTGCCTAAGTTCTGGGAAGGAGAATTCCACAAGGACATGGCGGCTCTGAACGTAAGTGTCGCAGCTGTCTTGTCCTCCCTGTCGGGCCGAGGGCCCTGATCCCTCAATTCCTGTTTTGGCAAAGCCAAGAGGCCTGTGTGATTCTCGCCGTCTTCACTTGGTGGCTTAATTTAATTATGTCCAAGTCAACAGTGAAGTGGAGCCGAGGAGCGTAAGGTGCTTCTTGGGCTTGTTTTTCGTTTTTTCCCTTTTTTGTGAGTTCTTTGTACGGTGTTAGGGGCGTCTTGTTTTATACATTGGTGATGTTGTTTTCATGGAGCATGTTTGTCAGAGGATGCCGTTTTCAGAAGGGATGATCCAGGGCCTTTTTCTCGCCACGGACAGGTTCTCCCTCCAGATGTCCTGACCCGGGTTAGTGAGTACGTGCCAGAAATCGTGAACTTCGTGCAGAAGATTGTGGACAACGGCTACGGGTGAGCACGAGGGCCCTCCCTGGGGCTGCGACACAGTCCGGTTTGGGAGCAGGGGGGTTGGTGTCCTGGAGCTGGAGGCCAGACCAGCAGCCCCTGTGCTCCCCTCGTGGCACGGAGCCTTGTTCTGGCCACTTCGTCCCCAGTTCTGCGCTGTGTAAAGTGCCTTATAACTAAAGCCCTCTGGGGTTTTTATTTCACATTAGCTGCCGTCACAGCAGGCATCCAACTACGAGCTACAGACACCACCTCTTTGTTTGAGCGGGGAGCAAGAGGGGGGCGGGTGTCAGCTGCGCCCACGCCAATCCCCGGAGCCTCTCGCAGCTTCCCCTTGCAGCTCCAGGCCCAGCCCAGGACCTGGGTCACTGCAGCCGGGGGCTGAGGCAGGGGTCTGGCTAGCCAGCCCTTTAGGCGGGCCGGGCCTGCCCTGGGGCTGTGGGGAGGACCCAGCCCCAAGTCTGGCAGGAGGCGGTTAGAGCACTGGTCACAGGGCCCGAGCTGTGTGGCGGTGAGCACAAGCCCTGCTGAGTCTTCGGACACGTAACACCGTGGCGCAGACACTGACAGGGCGCGTCCTGGCTTGTACCCAGGGGAAGGTGCGTTTCATCAGCATCTCGGCTGAGATTTTAGCGGCTTTTTGCTGTGACCCTGTCATGCACTGCCCCGCCACACTGAAGCATCCCAGTGCCATCTGACCTCGGGCACACTCTCCCAGGCTCCGAAGTAGCACTTGCAGAAATGGCCAACACATGGAAGGGCAGACGGGAACCGAGTGTCTGCGGTGCCCGGCACCTGCTCCAGAAGAGCCACTCTGTGTGGCGGGCGTGGGGTGCTGTACCCAGCCTCGGGTCACTACCACACACCTGGCAGATGGACAGAGGAGGAGGGAGAGGCTCCACGCATGGTGCCCAGAGCAGCCCAGGCTCTTAGACAGTGATGGTGCCGTCCCTCCCCACTGGTCACAAAGCCCTGTGGGGCAGCACAGGACCGTGTGCCCAGCTGAGGGGCAAGGGCGAGCCCGAGCGCAGAGAAGGCGGGCCATTCCAGGCTGGCGTGGTCTGGAGGCCAGGAGCCTTGGCCAGCCCAGCAGGCGGGAGGGTGTGGACAAGGAGAGTCAAGGGCGTAGCACACCAGGACTGTACCACGCTGGCAGGGCCGGGGGTCGCCAGGCAGGGGGCAGGCCCCGGGGCCAGTGAGGGCTGCTTCTGCCATGGGGCACGCCCCGTCACCGTCCTGCTCGGCCCTCGTAGCTGGCGAGGTTTTGAGTTCCCGTTGTGGAGAGTGGGGAGGAGCAGAGATTTGAGCAGGCCACAGAGTGCACAATTCTGTGACCCTTCTTGATGTTCCAGCTGTTGTTCTGGGAGGTGTCTTTGGATCTGTTAAACCCCCCGCCCCCAATTCCTTTTGTGTTTTCCAGCTACGCTTCCAATGGCTCTGTCTACTTTGATACCGCGAAGTTCGCCTCTAGTGAGAAACACTCCTACGGGAAGCTGGTGCCCGAAGCTGTTGGGGATCAGAATGCTCTTCAGGAGGGGGAAGGTAAGAGAAAGAAGGGTGAATAAAGGAATGGGAGGAAGAAGCTCGGGACTCTCCCGCTTGTGCACAGTCCAGACTGTGTTTGTCCTCGCGGTCACAGTGGGGTGTGCTGAGCCCCCACTCAGACGCATGGAATGGTGTGTCTTCACCTAAAGGAATTTTTGGAGTTATCTACGTAAGACCATGGAATGTATTTTTTTAATTGATGCATAATAATTGTACATATTTATGGGGTACATGTGATATTTTGGTACATGCATATGATGTATAGTGAATAAATCAGGGTGATTAGGATGTCCAGCACCTCAAACACTTATCATTTCTTTGTGTTGAGAACATTACAGATCTTCTATATACAATGAATTATTGATAATTAGCCAGGTGCAGTGGCTCATTCCTCTAATTCCAGCACTTTGGGAGGCTGAAGAAGGAGGATCTCTTAAGCCCAGGAGTTCAAGACCAGCCTGAGCAACATACCGAGGCCCCATTTCTTCAAAAAAGATTTTTTAAAAATTACCCAGGTGCAGTGGTGTGCGCCTGTAGTCCCAGCTACTTGGGAGGCTGAGACAGGAGGATCGCTTGAGTCTAGGAATTTGAGGGTGCTGTGAGCTATGATTGTGCCACTGCACTCCAGCCTGGTTGACAAAGTCAGACACTGTCTCTAAAAATATTAATAAATAAGTAAATAAATTACTGGTAACTATAGTCATCCACTCTGCTACTGAACACAAGAACTTATCCCTGCTATCTAACTGTATGTTTATACCCAGAAACCAGCGTTTTTTTCACTCCCCGAACCCCCGCCCCGCCCAGCCTCTGCTACCCACCATTCCACCCTCTACCTCCTTGAGTGAGAACATGTGATATTTGTCTTTCTGTGCCTGGCTTATTTCACTTAACATAATGACCTCCAGTTCCATCCATGTTGCTGCAAATGATAGAATTTCATTCTTTTTTATGGTGAGTTATTTTTTTAAGGAAAAAAAGAAGTGAGTAAACAGTGCTGTCTTGAGAAGCGTGGTGGCCCCGGGCCCTGATTCTCGGGCTGGTGTTTGCTGACTTGAGCGTGCAAGGTTTAGGGCAGATCGGGGGAGACTGAGACAAAAGCCAGGGGACGCGTGTGTCCTGACGGCCCTGTACCCATGTGGGTCCAAATACTGAAAACACAGACATCAGGCTTTTTCTAGACCAGGCAGAATATATTTGAAACACTCCCATGGTGTTTTCTCCATGCTTATTCCATAAGCGAATCTGGGAACATGCCCACAGGAGCCAGGAGTCAGCACGTGTCCACGGAGCGGGGCCGGCTCGCTCGTGCCAGGGCACTTTCTGAGTCGTCACCCCCACCCCACCCCAGTATTTCTAGAAGGCGATTTGGCCATAGTTATATGTTCATACTTTTTTTTTTTTTTTGAGACAGTCTCACTTTGTTGCCCAGGCTAGAGTGAGTGCTGTGGTGTCAACCTTGCTCACAGCAACCTCAGACTCCTGGATTCAAGCGATCCTCCTGCCTCAGCCTCCGAGTAGCTGGTACTACAGGCATGTGCCACCATGCCCGGCTAATTTTTTATATGTATATTAGTTGGCCAGTTAACTTCTTTCTATTTTTAGTAGAGACGGGGTCTCGCTCTTGTTCAGGCTGGTTTCAAACTCCTGACCTCGAGCAACCCGCCGCCTCGGCCTCCCAGAGTGTTAGGATTACAGGCGTGAGCCACCGCGCCCGACCTGTTCATACTTTTCAATCAAGTAATTTTACCTTCAGGGCTCTGTTGTAAAGAAATATTGGAACCTAAAACAAAACAACCCAACACAGACTGAGGAAAGATCCGCTCAGCCAGACAGACAGCATTATAACAGACCCAGTGGCATTTACGCTGTAGTAGCGGGGCGAGTTCCTGATGATAAAGCACCTCGACCCCAAAGGACTCGGTCGTGTGCTGGGTGGGCAGGAAGCCCTGGGCTTCCACTCCCCAAAGCAGAAGAGACACGCCCGTGTTGTGAGAAGACTTTGCATGCGCTTCTGGGGCCAAGAGTTAGTAAGGGTACGAAAGGGTTGGAATGCAGTGAATAGGCTTGACCTAAGAGGCGGGAACTTTGCCCTCGGAAGTCAAAGAACATCCATTTTAAAATTTATTTTTATGTTTATTCATTTATTTATTTTTGTAGAGACTAGGTCTTGTTATGTTGTTCAGGCTGGTCTCAAACTCCTGGCCTCAAGCAGTCCTCCGCGTCTGCCTCCCAGAGCTCTGGGATCACAGGCGTGAGCCGCCTCACCCAGCCTCCTCCATTCTTTTAAACACACAAAACCACAGGACAGGCTGCAAAAGGAGGTCTCTACAAATCCCAGAGAACTGCTGCTGTGGAGCCCTCTTTCTCCGACCGCCATGCAGTTGTGTTGGGATCAACACTGCAGGGACCCATGTGCAGTTAAAGGTGGGATGGAAGCAGCGTTTAAAGCTGAGCAGAAACGGAAGTGCCTCATTCTGAGACTTGGAGAATGCCCCTATAGTGCCAAGTAAAGGAAAGTCACGCTTTTAAATGTAGTTATTAGGCCGGGCGCGGTGGCTCCGCCTGTAATCCTAGCACTGTGGGAGGCCGAGGCAGGTGGATCGTTTGAGCTCAGGAGTTCCATACCAGCCTGAGCAAGAGCAAGACCCCGTCTCTATTAAAGAAATAGAAATTAGTTGGACAACTAAAATATATACATATATATATATATATAAATTAGCTGGGCATGGTTGGCACATGCCTGCAGTTACAACTACTCAGGAGGCTGAGGTAAGAGGATCGCTTGAGCTTAAGAGTTTGAGGTTGCTGTGAGCAAGGTTAATGCCATGGCACTCCAGCATGGGCAACAGAGTGACACTTTGTCTCAGATAGATAGATATATAAATGTAGTTATTAAAAAACAAAGATTGAAAATATGTGGAGTAAATAGTCCACAGACTGGAAGAGGAGCAACAGTAAACAGCATCACAGGAGAGTAGGAGAGGAAGTCAGAGAGTCAAAGCTGGCCCTTCACGAAAATCAGTAGTACGGAAAGACACTTAGCAGGCCTGACAAATGAAAGTAGAAGATTCAAAAATACATTAGGACGAAAACTGAGCATGACTGTAGACCCAGTCGAGAGTTTTAGGAGGTCCTTAGAGGAGACCGTGAGCCACTCGCAGTGCATGGGGCGAGGGGCTGCGAGGGCACACAGGGCCTTCCCGTAGCTTTGTGATAAATCTTGCTATCTGGCCCCATCTGGGCTGTTCTTTTTCTTAAATATCATTTATTCTTGGACTTGTTTCTTCCAGCCTGACTTTAGAATTGGTTCGAGCTCCAGAAGCAGCAGGAGCAGAATCCAGCAGCATTTAGGAGGGAGGAAAGGGGCGTGCCCTCCCCTGGAGGACGCCCTGGCTGCGGGCCCACACCCCTGCAGGGATAGGAATGGGAGGTGTCTTTCCTCTGTGCGGTCGCATGCCCCCTACCGTGGGGCGCCCTAACAGCAGAGAGGAAGGGGAGAGGGGACTTGGGCGCCCTGCGTGGTCTCATGTGATGGCCCCCCAAAGCCCCTCTACCAAGTCAACGACCCATCAGAGGCAGGTGGGCCACACAGACCGTTCCAGAAGGCACTAGGCGGACTGAGGAGGGAGCAGGGCCTGCTGTGGGTGGGTGCGCCTCTAGGGTCAAAGCTAGAACACTCACTCTGGCTCTGGGGACGGACAAGACAGGAAACCGGGAAGGAGAACTTGAGGGGATTGTGTGATTCATTTCTTTTAAAAAAGAAGACAGGAACTGGGCTGGGGTCTGTCCTCTTCGTTGGATGTGCCTGTCTTGCTTGCAGAAATTTTTTTAAATCTGCAAATTAATATACTAAAACGTCCTTGGTTAATAGATCATGGCAATTTTTTTCCTGTTTTTTAAATTTTCCAAAGTTTTCCACATTTAGTACATGTTTTATAATCATAAAGTTGGTGGTTTTAAAATATGTTTAGCAGGGCTTTCCCTGTGCACTGTGTTTCTCAGGGCAGCTGAGGGCTGTTGTCTGATCAGTTGCAAATCTGAAAGCGGATTTGTTGCCTGAAAAGGTTACACTGTGAAGGCCACCGTAGTTAGGCCCCTGGAACGGAGTCTGCCGTTGTCCACGAGGGGGCGACGGCACCCAGGAAAAGGCAGCCCTTCTACCTGGCGCCAGGAAGGGCCAGGTGGGACCCTCTGGAGCCGGAGGCCCTGGCTCTCTGCCTGCCCCGAACTCGGTGTTATTCTCCCCGAGGGAAGTCAGCACTGACTTGAGGCTGCTGAAATTTCCCGTGTGTCCCACACGTGTCATCTAGGAAAGTCCCCTACGGGGATGGTGTACTTCTTTCCTGGACACTCAGCAGCTTGTGCTCCAGCTGGCCAGGTGTCACCAGTTTGGTGACCGGAGTTCACTGAGAGAGTTGGTTCCCCTCCCTCCTACGGGACTCGCCGGCTGTCTGCTGGCCAGGTGGTGCTGGCTCTGCCCGGGACATGGCAGTGTGCCGAGAGCAACGCTCCCCCTGCTTGGGGCCTCTCTGGACTGTGGTTTCACGTCCTTCACCGGTTCCCCTCACGAGCACGGGGGAACAGTGAGTGTCCCTTCACCACCACTCCTCCGCCAGGTCCATATTGAGCGCAGTGCAGCGCAGCCTTGTCCTCCCACCTCTGGGAACCCACAAGCTGACGATTGTGCAGGCTGTTGACACCTTGAGCCGCCTGCACCAGTCACAGCAACTCCTAGCCGTAGCCCAGGGCACGTCGCTCGTACCAGGCACTGGCGGCCGAGGGTGTGCCAGGCAGCGGGAGATGAGTGTCTTAAGCAGATGCCAGCTGCGGCTTCAGGCACGGCGAGGTCTGCTTGGACACTGGCGTGTGAGCCCGTGACTTCGGAGCTTAGAAAAGGTGTTTCACAACCCTGTACACTGGGTCAGTACCACAGTCTGGTCATGTACAGAAACGTGGAGAAGTGCTTGGGCTAAGTTAATAAACAAATTGGCAGCATCAGCCACTAGACACCCAGAGTGGGCTCGAAGTGAGATGCTTTGGTCTGTGGGCACCGCTGAGTGACCTGCTCTGCCTCCCTTGTGCTTCCAGGGGACCTGAGTGTCACCGCAGACCGCCTGAGTGAGAAGCGCTCGCCCAACGACTTCGCGCTGTGGAAGGCCTCCAAGCCGGGAGAGCCGTCCTGGCCGTGCCCCTGGGGGAAGGTGAGCAAGCGGCCCGGGAGGTTGGGGCTTGGGGGCGGTGGGAAGGGCGCTGGCACCAGCCACGCCCTCGGTCCCCCACGAGAGGTAACTCTGCATGCGGAGGGTGTTGTCACCGGGGCCAGAGCCTGGTCCTGGGGACCTGGACCTCACAGAGACGCCCTGGGTCCCTTTCCAGGACTGCCGTTTTCTGGTCTGGGAAAGGGGGTGTGATCAGATCAGATCGCCTCAGAGGCCCTGGGTCTGACGTTCTGTGACTCCGAGTTGAGCATTCCCAGGTGGCCCTCTGAGATCTGTGGCGACGGTCCTCAGGTAGGGGTGCCCTGGGAAGGGGGTGTGTTCTGCTGCTGTCGAGGGCCGGCGGCTTCTGGAAGTTCACAGATGGCAGCAAAGCCTCGGTCAGCACGAGGCTGGCATTAAACTTGACAGAAGGCGGCTGGCTACCTGGTCTTTTCACGTGTGAAATTTCACACCTGGGCCATCAGTCAGGCTGCTCAGTCACTGGGTCTCTGGGTCCCTCCAGGGTCGTCCGGGATGGCACATCGAGTGCTCTGCCATGGCGAGCACCCTCCTGGGAGCCTCGATGGATATTCATGGAGGTGGGTTCGACCTCCGGTTTCCCCACCACGACAATGAGCTGGCGCAGTCGGAGGTAGGCGGAGACGGCGGGCGCCTTCCAGAGGGGAGAGCGCGGTATGCTCGCGGCTGTGGTAGAAGAAAGTCAGCCGGGGCCCTCAGGAAGGGCTTTGGTCACCAAACTCCACCCCTGCGTCAGGGTTTGTCAGTAGAGTCGAGCCCTAATCGTTCAGCGTGGCTTTCCTGGTTTTGGCTACAGAAGGGCCCGAGTTCTAACCTGTCGTGTTACCTGCCAGCTCATTAACCCACGTCAGTCCTTCCGGGTGCCAGTTGCCCACCTGCAAGGTGCAGCACCCACCTGGGGACGCGCAGAGAAGTGAGCCGGCGGCGCGGGTCTCGTAACGCCCGGCTGTTGTTGTCCTCCCCTTCCCACGCAGGCCTACTTTGAGAACGACTGCTGGGTCAGGTACTTCCTCCACACTGGCCACCTGACGATCGCAGGCTGCAAGATGTCCAAGTCACTGAAGAACTTCATCACCATCAAAGATGCCTTGAAGAAGCATTCAGGTAACCCCGGTTTCTCCCCAGACCCCCCCGCCGTCTGGGAGACACGCGCTGGCCGTAGCGCGGGAGGTTAAGGGCGCCGCTGGCCTGTGTCCTCCTGTGTCCCCCTAGCGCGGCAGCTGCGCCTGGCCTTCCTCATGCACTCCTGGAAAGACACGCTGGACTACTCGAGCAACACCATGGAGTCGGCGCTGCAGTACGAGAAGTTCATGAACGTGAGTGCCCAGCCCTCCCTGAGGGCGGAGCAGCTGCCCGGCACGCTGGGCCCTGAAGGGGGAGGCAGCTCTGCTTAAGCGTGGCCGCGTCCTTTCTTTCTTTCTTTTTTTTTTTTTTTGAGACAGAGTCTCACTCTGTTGCCCGGGCTAAAGTGCCGTGACGTGAGCCTAGCTCACAGCAACCTCCAACTCCTTGGCTCAAGCGTTCCTCCTGCCTCAGCCTCCCTAGTAGCTGGGACTACAGGCATGCGCCACCATGCCCGGCTAATTTTTTCTATATATTTTTAGTTGTCCAGCTAATTTCTTTCTATTTATAATAGAGATGGAGTCTCAGTCTTGCTCAGGCTGGTCTCGAACTCCTGCCCTTGAGACATCCACCCTCCTCGGCCTCCCAGAGAGCTAGGATTATAGGCATGAGCCGCCTGGCCTGGCCCTGGCCATGTCCTTGTTCGAGGTGGTGCACCATGTTCTGGCTTCTACTTTCCACCGAGCAAGCGCCTCTAAGGCTAAGACGGGAGTGCGTTTCTGTCTCAAAGAAACATCCTTCGCTTTCTTCTGACCGCTTGTGTGATGTCGGTGCTTTCTGGCTCTTCAATTTTGCCTAACGTAGAGTCACTTCGGTAGGACAGTTTATCAGACGTTTCTGGATGAAAAAGTTGCCTACACGCTGTCTTCTGACTTCAGGAGTTTTTCTTAAACGTGAAGGACATCCTGCGCGCTCCCGTCGACCTCACCGGCCAGTTTGAGAAGTGGGAAGACGAGGAGGCAGAGCTCAACCGGATGTAAGAGGGCCCCTCCCTGGGTTCCTGCTCCTGCCCACGCTCGGTGGCCACACGTGTCCCGGGCCGCCGGGGAGCAGGTGGTGACACCGTCACACGCCCCACAGAGCTCCCTCAGGCAGGACATGCCCGCGGGTGGGAGCTGCTGCAGCTGCGGACCCTCACGGAGGGTTGCCATAGCACACGCCCCTCCGTCTCTCCCGCGCAGCTTTTACGCCAAGAAGATGGCCGTGCACGAAGCCCTCTGCGATAACATCGACACGCGCACGGCCCTGGAGGAGATGCGTGCCCTGGTCAGTCAGTGCAACCTCTACGTGGCGGCCCGGAAGGCTGCGAGGAGGACGCCCAACCGGGCTCTGCTGGAGCACATCGCCCTCTACCTCACGCACATGCTGAAGGTGAGCCGGGCCCAGCGGGTCCCCAGCTGTGTGGACACGGGGGCCAGGCCCGGCGACAGGGAGAGCAGAGACATGATCGAGCATCTGTCGTCCGCGCTCCCTGCTGTCCTTTGTGTGTGTTAGAGGGAAAACCGGGACGGCGTCCACTCGCCTGGGCTGTTTCTTCCCTCCCCTCAGTTTCCCTCTCCTCCCTCTGCACTCGGAACACACCCCGTGCGGGACCCTTCCCCGGCGGTGCCCTGTGCCATGGAGGGACCCTCCAGACGCTGGTGGGGCCTCAGGGTGCCTTGCCCCCTTCTCCTTCTGCTTCCTGTTGTCTGGCTCCAGAGGCTTTGGCTGAAAGGGGCCAGGAGGGTAGCTCTGGGTCAGGGCTGTCCTCAGCAGAGGAGGGCACCCTGGGCTCGGGTGCAGGGCCTTGGATTGGAGCAGCTCCTCCCATCTGTCCCTGTCATGGAGCCCACCCCGAAGGGCTTCCCCGAAACCTGCCCCTCCTGTAGATGCTGGAACACCGTTGGTGGCCTCTCACCATGTACACCCACTCGGGACCTCTTCAACTTGTCGTGGCGTGTATCCTGTTTCTCTCCTAGATCTTCGGGGCCATAGAAGAGGAAAGCTCCCTGGGCTTCCCAGTCGGAGGGCCTGGAAGCAGCCTGAACGTGAGTAGAGCACACCCGGGCCCAGAGACTCTCCCTCTGGGGCATCCGGTTAGCCGCCAGCCCCTTAGCCTGCCTGGCGCACACCCCTTAAGGTCGCCTGTCCCGTGGGGTCTGCTCTTAGGGCGCTGTCCTGCCTTCCATGCCCACTCCCTGCCCGTGATCCTCTGGAACCCCACCGGGTCCCACCACTCCTCTGTCCTGTCTTTGGACATTCGGAGAGCAGTGCAGGGTCCCACCCACACCCCACCCTCTGGGCCGAGCCTGCAGGTTGAGTTTCAGATTTGGCTGGTGGAGCGTCTCAAGTGGCCAGGCTGCCCCTCCCGTGTGGAAGGCCAGCCTCAGTGGTGACGACCTCCGTTGCAGACTGTTAGTGAGGGGGACTGTGCGCTGTGCCGTTGCATGAGCTCCGTCTCGGCATTCCCAGGACGGGTCATGTTTAGCCACAGCCACGTGGCATCGGGACTCTCCAGCCAAGATCTCCTTGTAGGTGCTGGCTGGCCCCTCACCAAGAGGCCACCGCACTCACGCTGGCTGGGGCCTCTGGGGGGGTCTGGGCAGAAACCGATGCCAGACTAGGTGCAGTCCTGACACCAGGCCCAGGCCCAGCCACACGGCCTGAGCCAGAGCCGCTCCCCCAACCGCTGCCACCTGCACATAGGGAGGGGTCACCACCCGGTGCCACACACCCTCTGTGGTCTGTGCGCATGAAGGAATCCATCCGGAACACACTGGCTGTCCCCTGCTGGCTGCTCTGTGTGTGGGTGACCTGTGGTAGAGACAAGTGTTCAATTATAATACATTCATTCCTCTGCTACATAGTGACTGTCCTCTTAGACAAGTGCATGTTCAGGCTTACAACATGTTCCCTCACTCCTCCCTGGTCTAGAATGTTCTTTAATTATTTGATTAGAATGTATATCTAAATATTTAAATATAATAGCTATTATTTTAATACAATCTGGAGCATAGTACAAAGTAAACAGGCAAAATCTGTTTAAAATCCTGTTCCCTGATGACGAGTGGCGTGAGGAGCCCTTTTCTGCAGGTGGGGTTGGCTGCTGTCCCCCAGAACCGCCCCAGAGAGCAGGCAGGCGCGTCCTTAGGAGCCTGCCAACGCCAGGCCCAGCCTGATGCCTTCTGTCAGTCTCAGAACTCGTTGTTGGTGGGGCATTTTTCAGACTTCCCACATAGGATCCTCCTTTGGTGCTTAACAGAAAGAAATCCCACATAGCTCCTTCATTCTTTTGTGCAAGTGATACTAAGATATTTATTTTCTTTAAAAGCAAAATCACATCTCCTGCATTAAAGTCAGTTGCCTTTGAACTTAAGTGTTTTTAATCTTAAATGCTGCTGTGGCTGTGGGGGCGCCTTCGAATGCACTGCACACATGCACCCCGTCCCCTGGGTGGCCTCAGGAGGCCCTTTGGAGTCAGCTGGTTGGAAATACGCACCCAGAGTGTGGTGATCTGCCGTCCTAAACATCCTGTCCTAAACATCCTGTACCCACCGTGCATGGCCGTTGGAAGTTCACGGATTAACTTTCAAATCCAAGTCGGGTTTTTTTGTTGTTATTTTTTTTTTGAGACAGAGTCTCACTTTGTTGCCTGGGCTAGAGTGCTGTGGCATCAGCCTAGCTCACAGCAACCTCATCTGGGCTCAAGCGATCCTCCTGCCTCAGCCTCCTGAGTAGCTGGGACTACAGGCATGCGCCACCATGCCCGGCTAATTTTTTTTTTCTATATATATTTAGTTGGCCAATTAGTTTCTTTCTATATTTAGTAGAGATGGGGGTCTCACTCTTGCTCAGGCTGGTCTTGAACTCCTGACCTCGAGCAGTCCGCCTGTCTTGGCCTCCCAGAGTGCTAGGATTATAGGCGTGAGCCATTGCGCCTGGCCAAATCCAAGTTGTTGTAGGAACAGGAGAGATGGCTCTTAAGTCTTGTGCCACCATGAGCGTTCCCTGCTCAGCTAGGTGCCAGTGTGCTCAGCTGAACCGCTGGGGCCTGCTGGCCCTTTGAGACAGACCACCACAGCTGTCCCAAGAGCCCCATCAGGTGCCCTGGGGCCGGGCCTGAGGCTGGCAGTGGGTTGGTCGCCTCCCTCCCAGAGTGCCTCTGTGGCGGGCGGAGATCCAGACCTAAAACCCCCTAAGGCCAAAGTTGCCACCCCAAGGAGTCACCCTCAACTCAGAGGCGGGATTGGGTCTGAAGCAGTGGAGCTGTGCTGAGTGTGTGGCCCATGCCTGGAGCCCCGGCCAACTCAGGAGGCTCTGGCAGGAGGATTGCTTAAGGTCAGGAGTTCGAGGCTGTCGTGAGCTGTGATCATGCCACTGCACTACAGCCTGGGCAGCAAGGCAAGTCCCCATCTCTACAAAAAGTAAAATTTAGGAAGTTTAGGTCAGACTCAGGGCTTCTTAGCCAGGTTTGCATTTGTTAGTGCTTTCATTGTGCTTATTGAGCTGCAGGGAGAGACCTTGCTCCAAAGCTAAAACCTTCTCTGTGCTGTTGGGAAATAGGAGGGCTGTAATGTAAAGGGTGTTCCTGGAGTCAGGCTCTTGCTCGGACTCTGCCCTCCTCGGCCGGCCTTTCCCAGCGTGGTCCCACATTCCACGGCCGCCCCGTGCTGCTGCAGGTGGTTGACGCTAGGGTGGACGCCAGCGTGCGCGTAGACAGTAGGTAGTCAAGGAGCTCCTTAGTCTTGGACAAAACAGGTGACCACAGATGGGACCTGAGCATGGCCTCAGTGCAGGTAAGGCCCCAGCCTGGGGAGTGACGCTATCAGGCCCCTGAGAAAACGTTTCCCCCCCAGACACAGCCTGTTTGTGGCCATGAAGACAGGCTTTTTAACAACTACATGTTTGGCCTGAGAAAACATGTCACAGAGCAGCTGCCAGGCTCACCCTATTGGAAGGAGAAAGGAGGCCGTCTGCAAGCTATCTGGCCCCAGTGTCCCTGTGACTTATGGTCTAGAAGGGACCACGTGGGAGGGACAAAGCCTCCATACTTTGGGATACTAGTCACAGCAGTGTGAGTCTATGGTGGCCTGCGCCTGTCCCAGCCCCACGGTGTGTCTGCCACACTGTTACCCAGTTGTAAACATGAGGGATGAGGGCAGGCGCGGTGGCTCACACCTGTAATCCTAGCACTCTGGGAGGCTGAGGCGGGCAGATCGTTTGAGCTCAGGATTTCGAGACCAACCTGAGCAGGAGCGAGACCCCCATCTCTACCAAAAATAGAAAAAATTACCTGGGCATGGTGGCGCACACCTGTAGTCCTAGCCTCTAAAGGCTGAGGCAGCAGGATCGCTTGAACCCAGGAGTCTGAGGTTGCTGTGAACTAGGCTGACACCACGGCACTCTAGCCCGGGCAACAGAGTGAGACTGTTTCAAAAAAAAAAACCAAAACAAAACATGAGGGATGAGCTTCTTGCAGTAAACCAGATCATTCTCCCCACAGCTGGAGGCCACAGTCATGCCCTACCTTCAGGTGTTATCGGAATTCCGGGAAGGAGTGCGGAAGATCGCCCGAGAGAAGAAAGGTGAGAGGCAGGTGGGAGAGCTAGAGGGAGGCGTCGCCAGCACCGTGGGTGCCAGGCCAGGCTGTTCTCTGAGGGCTGCCCTGGGTGCTGGGTGTGGAATAGCCGGCCTGGGCCTGCTGGGTCCGTTAGCACCACATGCCAGCCACAAGTGACCCTGCAGGGCAGAACCTCTCCTGCAGAAACCCCGGGTGGCAGCTGGAGTCCATTCGCCTCTTGTTCTCTGAGCAGAGGCAGAACAAGGGTTCCTCTGACCCGCCGGCCGCGCCTCTGCCTTTCTGTGTGCACTGGGGCTCACTCCTGCTCCTGGTGACCCAGTGGGCTGGGCGCGCTGGCGTGTGCCTTGTTCCTGCTGCGCAGTCCCGCCGTGTGGGTGTGGCCCTCTGCGGGGAGCCAACCAGAGTTACTGTTCTGCTTGGGGCATGGCGGGCGAATGCCTTGAACTTGGGGTCCACCCAGTGGCCCTTGCTGTCCAGGCACCGCCATTTCTTCATCTTTTGATGTTGTAGAGGTACAACATCTGAAAATGCTTGGAAAATGCTAGATCTGAGCATTTCATTTCATGGGGCAGTTTTTAAAAATTGTTGAACACAGCAACGAGCAGCATCAGGCATGCGTTTGGTTCTTGCTGTGCGCGGCTCTGAGCTGGTGACGGCACAGCCGCAGACATGGCCGAGGACTCGGAAGGTGCTGGGCCCAGGTCGCCTCCTTTCCTCACGTTGCCTCGTCCAACCTCGTGATTTCACAAAGGAGGAGAGCAGAGCCCCGAAGTTGGAGATTGGCCCAGGCCACGCTGTCCTGTCGCGCATGCGTCCTCCCTGAGGGCCTTCTGCGTGATGCGGAGTTGCCCCTGGCGTTCGTGTGGCCCCCATCTGTGCAGAGCGGTGGGGGCCATCCGGGCAGGGCTGAAGTGGCGCCTCTGGCAGAAGCCGTGCCTTGAGGAGGGATAAGCAGGCCCGGGCAGCTGGCAGGTCTGGAGGTGTGGGAGCTGGCCCGGCCTGGTATGGGAGGGGGTGGCAGGGCAGGGGTCGGGGCAGGCAGGAAAAGGCCTCAGGCCCTGAGGACCCTGGGCTCAGCTCCAAGGGCTCGGGGGCAAGTGCAGTGCGCTGGGTGTGCGAAGATTCCAGGGCTGCAGCGTGTCCTGCAGGGCCCTGGGCCAGACCGCACAGTTGTTGGGCGTGGTGGCGTTTGGTCTTTCTGGATAAGTGTGGTCCCCTCTCTAACACCTAACACACCCCTCAGCGTTTAAAGCCTTTGAACCAAACTGGGAAGAGCCTGGCCAGTCAGCGCATTCGGGTCCAGTGCGGACTCTCCGACGGTTTTGGCAGCCCGAGCTCAGCAACTGCACTGGGGTGGTTCCCAGAGGCAGCCTAGGCATCCCCACCTGTCAGGGACTCGGGAGGCCAAGCCTGGGCCCCGGCTCCCTGAGGTCACACCAGGCAGTGTGCACGCAGCCCCGGGAGGAGCACGGGCAGTTCGGGAGGGCTCTGGAGGGGACTGGCCGGTACGGGCTCCTGTGCCTGGCGGACCAGGCAGGGCCTTGCTCGGGCCTGGAGATCAACTGGAGCCTGCTGGCCTTGGAAGTGGTTTGGCTTTGCTTTTTGTTTGCTTGATTTTCGCTTTCTTTTGCTCAGAGCAAGTGGACAGGACTGACGTGGGCTCTGGGCAGGGTGGTGGGGATCGCTGCCCTACACGTGCCTGTGGACAGAGACTCACTCTCACTGAGCCAGAGGCCCTGGGCTCCCCGGGCCTCAGACCTCCAGGCAGGAAGAACTTCCGGCCGGGGCAGCATGGAGATGCCCTCCCCCCTCCCCAAGAGCAGCAGCTAGCGTTTGACATGATATTGATCATTCACCGCCCTCAGCCTGCCGGCTGTTCACGAGGCCTTGGACTGGCCGAGCGGGAGGGAGCGAGTGACAGCTCCACGGCAGCCCTTGGGCACCGGTGCCCACTCAGCCCAGGTACCCTACAGACGTGAGGAAGAAACCATTTCTCCAGACACCCCAGTCCAGCCAGAGAGCAGGGGCTGTCCAGCAGGGCAGTGGGGCGGGTTTGGCCAGGAGAGGCGTTGGAAAGAACTCAGAGGCAGGGGCTGGGCCACAGCACTCTGTGTGGGGCAGATGGGGCCGTTTCCTCATCGCCCCTTTTTGTTTTCTTTGTGAGAAAATACACATGACACAAAATTTATCATCTTAACCATTTTTAAATTCATAGTTCAGTGGCTTTTTGTTTTCTGTTTTCTTGGGAGACTGAACCTGGCTCTGTTGCCTGGACTAGAGTGCGGTGGCATCATCATAACTGAGCAACCTCAAACTCCTGGGCTCCAGCAGTCCTCCAGCCTCAGCCTCCCAAGTAGCTGATAGTACAGGCGTGCACCACGATGGCTGGCTAGTTTTTGTATTTTTAGTAGAGATGGTGTCCTGCTCTTGCTTAGGCTGGTCTCAAACTCCTGAGCTCAAGCAGTCGCCTGCCTCGGCCTCCCAGAGTGCTAGGATTACAGACATGAGCCACCGCGCCCGGCCTCAGTCACATTGAGTACATTCTCATTGCTGTGCAGCCATCACCACCATCCACCTCCAGAACTTTTTTATCTTCCCAAACTGAGGCTCTGTCCCCATTAGACACTAACTCCCTCTCCGCCGCCCCGGGACTCACCCGTCTACTCTCTGGGTCTGTGGATCTGACGACTCTGGGACCTCCAGCCAGTGGGATCACAGTGTTTGTCCTTCTGTGTCTGGCTCGTTTCACTCAGCACGGAGTCCTCAGGGTTCATGCAGTGGCAGCCCGTGCCAGTCTCCTTCCCTTGTATGCTGAGCGGTGTTCCACTGTGCGAATGCGCCACGTTTTAGCAGCTGTGGACGGAGTCCACCTCCTTCTGCATCTTCTCCGTAGCCCACATTTCTCCTCAGTAAGTCCCCTGCCTCCGCTCCCCGTCTCTGCTGACAGACGCCTGCTCTGGCACGTGTGCCCCATGCCCGTGCGCTGTGCTGCGCTTGGGCTCTGTCATGGCACCTTCTGGAGCAGCACCGAGAGCCCTGCGTGTGCCGGGCGCTGGGTCACGGCGGGGGGTGGTCACGGCGTGCAGCGTCGAGGCACCGCCAGTCTGCGTGGTGCTTCCAGGAGCCGCTTCCCAGCATGTGGCCTCCGCGGCCTCTCCGTCGCCAGCGTGTGGAGACAGCCTCTTCCCGTCCTCAGGACGGTGAGGCCCGGGCAGCTGGCACAGGTGCCCCCAGGAGTCACCCTCTCCGGGGGCCGTGTCCTGGGGAAAGCCCGTGTTCCTTTGCTGGGTGCCCCGGTGGTTGTGAAGCTCCTTCCTTATCTTGGGAGAAACTCTGCCGGCCAGTGGCAGCCACGCCCGTGGCGTCCACCTGGGGCTCAGCGCCACCCGGGCCCTGTCGGGAAGTTTCCGTCCTGCTCCCACGCTGGGCAGCCCGAGTGTCAGCCCCGAGTCTGCCTAGCAGTGGGAAAGCTTGGGAAGCCTTAGATGCAGCTGGCGTCCGCAGTGCAGGCGACAGGGCCAGTCCTCCTTGTACAGCCTCACCCCGTGGGAGGGGCTTGGTGAGTGAGGACTCCTTCGGTTCCTGCAGATGTGGGCCCTTCTTCTGCCCTCGTCTGTGCCCTCGTCCTGAGGTTGCATCAGTGAGTGATTCTGACACCCCACTCTTCCATACACTGAAGAATTTATTTGTTGAGTTCCTCAAATGTATCAAACTGAATTTTGCCATTTTTAAAGAGTATTTATTGGCTGGGCGCGGTGGCTCACGCCTGTCATCCTAGCTCTCTGGGAGGCCGAGGCAGGCGGATTGCTCGAGGTTAGGAGTTCGAAACCAGCCTGAGCGAGAGCGAGACCCCGTCTCTACTATAAATAGAAAGAAATTAATTGACCAACTAATATATTGAGGTGAAAATTAAATTAACATAAAATTAATAAATTCATAAAATTCACATAAAATTAACCATTTTAAAGTGAATAATTCAGTGGCATTTAGCACATTCACAGCGTTGCAGCCCCTGTGAACCAGCAGTTCGCTTGCCGTCTGCAGTTTGCCTATTCTGGACCTTTCGTGTGCCTGGAATCCTGCACTGCGGGACCTTCCGTGTCTCGCTTGTCTCACTGGGCGCTGTTTCCGCAGCCTGTCCGTGTGTTAGGGTGTGTTAGAGCTTTGTCCTTTTTAGGGCTCAGTGGCACTCCTTTCGTCGTATAGTGTATGTGGACCACGTTTTGTCGACACATTCTCCAGCTGACCGACACTAGAGTTGTGCCCACCGCTGGCTGCTGTGCGCAGTGCCGCTACGCCCACGGGTGGACGTGCATTCATTCAGGTGCCCGTTCCAGCTCTTCGGGGCGTATAGCTCGGAGTGGAATTGTGGGGTCACGTGATAACGCTATGCCTAAGGTTTGAAGGAACTGCCAAACTGTTCCATAGGGGCTGTACTGTGCCTCTTCCCACCAGCAGTACACAAGGGTTGCGGTTTCCCCACATCCTCGCTACGGTGACGTTCTGGTTTTACCCATAGCTGTCCTGCCAGGCATAAAGTGGGATCTGCAGTTTGGGTTTGCATTTCCCTGGTGACTAATAACGTTGAGCATCTCGTCATGTATTATTGACCGTGTCATCTCTGGAGAAGTATCCATTCAAGTCCTTTACCTGTTTTTTAATTGGATGGTTTGTCTTTTTATTGTGAAGTTGTAGGAGTTCTTTTTTTTTTCTTTTTTTGTGAAACAGGGGGTCTCACTCTGTCACCCAGGCTGCAGTGCAATGGTGTGATGATAGCTCAGTGCAGCCTCAAACTCCTGGGCTCAAGTGATCCTCCTGCCTCAGCCTCCAAGTAGCTGGGACTGCAGGCCACGCCACTACACCTGGCTAATGTTTGTTTTTTTTTTTCTATTTTTCCTAGAGACAGAGTCTTGATATGATGCCCAGGCAGGTCTTGAACTCCTGGCCTCAAGCCATCCTTCCACCTTAGCCTCCCAAAGTGCTAGGATAATGGGTATGAGCTACTGCACCCACTCAGGAGATCTTTATGTATCCTGGATACGAGACTCTGACGTAGGCTGGGCGCAGGGTTTGCACCTATAATCCCATTTGCCCTGTGGCTCCCCCCATGGGTGCTCAGCGTGGGCAGGGGACAGGAGGACTCAGGTGCCTCCACTCGCCTTGCTGTGGCCTAACCATTGGGCTGAGTTGGCGTCTGAGGTGAGAGAACCTGGCAGCAGCGTGGGGGTCACCCCAACCTCTGGACCTCGCATCTGTTCCTGGACACTCTTCGCTGCAGCTAAGCTCTGGCTCTCTCAGAGATGTGGGGGGCTGGGCCTTCCCTGGCACTTAGCCCCCGAGAGCTCTTAGCCCCAAAGATGTGTGGTGCAGGCTGCTGTGACTCCCAGGGGGCCAGGCTACAGCATGAGGGGAGAGGAGCTCCTCCAGGACTTCAGTGATAGCAGGGCACAGGCCCAGAGTAGGTGTGGCTGTGGGCGCCTGGGCCCCGGGATGTGCCTGGCTGTTTCAGAATCACCGGGCCAGGACAGTGGAGGCTCAGAGTTCCTGGACCCCTTCTGGAGTGACCAGAGTGCTTGGGGCAGTTTCTGAGCCCCATTGTTGTGCAGTAAAAACCTGCTTCCAGGAAATGAGCTCAGCCCCTGGGCCTGGCTCTGGGTGGCCCTGACCTTCCCCTCAGCACCCCGAGACCTGTGTGTCTGGCATCCTCAGCGTGCCTACGGCGCCGTCCGGGCAGTGGGAGAGCTGCCTTCGTGCCTGGGGTGAGGGCTCAGATGGGGCACTGAGGGCTCCCGGGGCGGCTCCCGGGCCTGTGGTCACACTGCACTCGGGAAGTAGTGCCCGGGGCTCGCTGGCGCGGCGTTGGTGGTCTCGGGTACTGCTGGCACCCACCCTCCTGAGCGCTGGGCAAGGCTCATGTTCTGTGAGAACTGGGTCCCCCTCGTGTGTCTAGCGGAACTGCCTTTCTTTGCCAACAGTCCCCGAGGTCCTGCAGCTCAGCGACAGCCTGCGCGACGACGTCCTGCCCGAGCTCGGGGTGCGGTTTGAAGACCACGAAGGTGGGTGAGCCCCTCCCTGTTGGCTGTGAAGTCACAGGAGCTCCCCTGAGACGGGAGGCGGGAAGGAGCTCGAGGGAGCCCTGCGGGGGAGCTCTGGGGCGGGGCCAAGGGCCCGTGCGTGAGTGCGTGTGGACGGGGAAGCCCACGGAGGTGCCACGCGCATTCCCGAGCGTGCCCCGCGCTTGCCGGCTGGCAGGGCAGGGGTTGCCGGCGCCTCTCCTGGGGCCTGGCTGGCTGCTGCCTGTGTCCCTGTAGGCCACTGGCCACCTTTTCTCACGCTCTGTCAGTCAAGGAAACGAGCTCGTGTCTCGCAGATTGTTAGCAAGTTTCACCCTTGTCCTCTGACTTCGTGGAGTTTTTTTCCTGGACTGAAAATTATTTTTTGATTTTTAACTTTTATGGATACGTAATAGTTCTGCATATCTGTGGGGCCCATGTGATGATTCACTGCGTGCACCCGCTGTGTCTGACCCAGTCGGGGTGACTGGGATGCCCGTCACTTCAGACACTGGTCGTGTCCTTGTGTTCCCCAGTTCTACTCTTCTAGCCGTTTTGAAATACAGACAGAATTCTTGTTGACTGGAGTGGCCGTGTCATGCCACCGAGGACTGGCTCCTCCCGCACCTGCCTGTGCATGCTGCAGGCAGGCCCTCCCCGCCCTCCCCGCCCTCCCCCTGCCGGCCTCTAGCCGCTGCCGTTAGACGACTTGTCCTGTGTCTGGCTCCCGGCTGGCAGTTTGCAAAGTCCTCCCGCAGGGTACTTCACTGCTGTCGTGGAGGATTTCGCGTTTTGTTTTTGATGTTTACCAGGTTGATGCACCTGGAATTAACTCTGCCTTGTGAGCAGTAACCGGGGCCCCACCATGTGTTCCTCTGGGGGGCCCTTGGCCTGGCAGGCGGGGCAGGGTGGTCTGGGCAGGGCAGGGCCGGCCCGCAGCCCAGCTGCTGCTCACAGACTGTTTGCCTTTCAGGACTGCCAACGGTGGTCAAACTGGTAGACAGAGACACCTTACTGAAAGAGAGAGAAGAAAAGAAAAGGGTTAGTAAAATTAAATGTCTTGAACTTGACATTTGTTGAAAGTGTAAAAACCGTTGGGGTTTTTATAGAGTTTACTTTTAAAGAGTTGATGTTTATACTTTTATCAAAATCACAGTTTTGGTTTGGATTTTAATCAATCTCAGTACTTTGGGAGGCTGAGGCAGGAGGATCTCTTGAGGCCAGGAGCTCAAGACCATCCTGGGCAACATAGCAAACCCTGTCTCCCAAAAATGCAAAAATTAGCCGGGCATGGTGGCTCTCGCCTGTAGTCCTAGCTACTCAGGAGGTTGGGGCGGGGGGGGGGTTTGGGCCAGGGGTTTTGGGTTTCCGTTGGGTTTTGTTGCCCCCCTTGCCTTCCGGCCGGGCCATTGGGTTGGGCCCTTTTTTTTTTTAAAAAAAATTGGATCATACTGGTTTTATGAAAGAAAAATTTTTTTAAAATCCCAATATTTATAAATGTTAGAAAGAAAAATTAGATAGATAACTACTTGACAGTTTGGTACCCAAAAAAGAAAAATGTACCTTTAGTAAACGATTTATTTTTTAAAAATTAATGAAAGTGAAAATTAGTCCCTTTTAGCAAACTGGAGCTGATGACATGTTTAAGTCCTGCCCTGCCCTTACCTGGGGGTACCCGTCTGTCTCCTCCTCCGCCTCCTCCTCCAGTTCCCTTTGGGCACCTTGGCTTTCAGAGGCTTCTTAACCAAGTGGCGGTAGGAGGTGGGCAGCTGGCACAGGAGCCTGGGCACAAGCAAGTTTGGGGGCCAGAGAATACACAACAGGTGGTGGAGAAGCTGTCTTCCCACCTCCTCCCGGCACCACCCCCCATGCTCTACCAGCCCTCCACCTGGCTCGGTCCGGCGCTCCCGGGATCAGGGGTGGGCCCTGTGTTTAATGACCTCGGCGCCTAGCAGCAGAGCCGGCAGGAGTAAAGCCTGCGGTGTCAGGCGCGCCGGTCGCAGGGCACGGGGCACCCTTGGCATGCAGGAGCAGAGCTAGTGGACTCCCCGCACAGCAAGGAGCCGGGCCTCGGGGCTGCGGCCTCCAGGGCAGAGGGACCCCAGGAGGCCTGAGGGAGGACACCACTGTGGAGAGAGCCTCTGAGAGGAACTCCAGAAGCTGAGTCAGCAAGGTGGGTTGCAGGGTGGGGGCAGGAGCTGGTGCCCTGGTGTGGGCGGCCGGAGCGTGCAGTGCCCTGGAGGACGGGTGGCCGGAGCCCCGGGGGGCGCTCAGGGCAGGTGCGGCATGGGCTGTGGTCTGCAGGAGCTGGGCTAACCCTGCAGGGTTGGACCCCCCCCAGGCCCCTCACACTCGCTGACCCCAGCCCTGGGCCTGCCCTGGCCCTGCCTCTGGGCATCCTGGGGCTGGCGTGCACGTCCCCGCAGAGGCGGTCGGCAGGACGCGCTCTCTTGTGGCTTCCCATAGCTCACGTTTCCGACCAAGAGACTCTGGCCACAACCAGACCGCTGCCAGGCGGTGCTCTAGGGCGCAGGGCTGCTGTGGGGGCAGGGGTCACGCCGGCGCGTGCGTTGCCCCGCCTCTCCCCAGAACATTCCCACCAGCACACAAGCACATCCCATCCTGGCTTTAAAGCAGAGAAAGCAGAAACCCGGGCACTTCTCTGTGCCCAGGACTCCCCCACCTCGGCCTCCTCCCCTCAGCCAGCTCTGTCCTCCCCGCCTGGGCCGCTCAGGAGCTCTTGACCCTGGTGGCCCAGCCCCTCCCGGTCTCCAGGACCCTTGTGCCTCCTTGCCTCCTTTTCCCCCTCTCTGCATGGGGGACACTCTCTCCAGGTGACCTCACTCAGTCCCACAGCTTCTCCACCACCTGCCGTGTATTCTCTGGCCCCCAAACTTGTGCCCAGGCTCCTGTGCCAACTGCCCACCTGACAGCTCTGCTCGGTTAGGAAGCCTCTGAAAGCCAAGATGTCTAAAGGGAACGCGTGACTTCCAACTCCCCAAACCTGTTCCTCCTTCCTGGCAGTGGAGGGGCACGCTTCACGCGGTAGCTCAAGGCAGAAGCTCCCCAGGCAGCTTCAGGCCTCCCTCCCCAGCGCCCAGCCTGCTGGCTCCACCACCCAGCCCCTCCCCGCCAGCACCAGGCCGCCCTCACCCCTGCCCAGATGCTGCCTGCTGGGTTGGAGCGGGCTCCTGTGTCCGAGGCTGGCCGCCGTGCCCTGGCACCTGCTGTCCTCTGCCTTCCTCTCCCCATCCTGCCTTGGGCCCGTGCTCCTTGCCTGCTGAGGGTCGGCCCTCCTGGTGCTATCCTTGGTCACCACCACCCTGGGCTGGGCTCGTCTTCCTGGTCTGTTTCTTCCTGTTAGCTGTGCCTGGGTCTTTTAACGTTGGTTCTGTCTGTTCACTGCATACCCCTCGTGTCTAGAGCAGGGCCAGGCACCCAGAGGTGCCCACTGAGGGTCCCCAGAGGGAACGGACGAGGGTCCGTGCGCTGCCTGAGCGTACACCGCCCAGCACACGGCTCGTCTCCCCGCCATGGCGGGGCTGGCTCAGGGTCCAGCCCCCTGGGAAGGGCTCATGTGCTGGACCTGGTGCAGCCCTGTGTCACCGTGCTCTGTACTGCTCCCCCAGGTTGAAGAGGAGAAGAGGAAGAAGAAAGAGGAGGCAGCCCGGAGAAAACAAGAGCAAGAAGTAATGCGCATCCGTCTGTCTGGTGGGGCTCTCGCGGGCTGTGGGCTTGGCCAGGCCCCTGGTGACCCTCGCAGAAGGACTGTGCTCTCTGTCGCCACCACCCGAGGCCGCCCAGGCCCTTCTCACACGGTGCCCGGGGCAGGCCTGGCGCCGGGAAGGCTGTGCCCTTTGGTCACAGGCTCGAGACAGCTTTTGTGAGCTGACTACTGCTGTAATTGTTTCTAGCAACCATCTTTCTATTCCCATAGATAAAAATCTAGTTTAATTTTAAATTGTCCCTCCTTGAAATTCCCACTGCCCTGGCTGCCTCTTCCCCGTCTTTCATAGCTCTCTGAACCCGAGGGCTTGGACGCAAGCTGGGGGCTGGAGGTGGGAGCAGATGTTGTAGTGTCAAGTGTAAAGCTGCTACGTGCCACTCAGCTGTGATATGTCATGTGTCATGTTGCAGGCGGCAAAGCTGGCCAGGATGAAGGTTCCCCCCAGCGAGATGTTCTTGTCAGAGACTGACAAATACTCCAAATTTGATGAAAATGTAAGGCTTGTTTCTCTTTTTCTCAGAACCTTATTGGACCACATGAAGTTGGGGTGGTGGGAATTTTCAACCTGGGGCAAGTGGATTTTCTCTCTGGAGTAAAATTTAAGGGTAGGCTGAGGTCACCTGGCACCTGCTCTAGGTCTAGGCCTCCTGCCCCGAATGCCAAGGGCCCCGGGCTTCCAGCAGCCTGTCCAGCGGGGCAAGCCCCTGCCAGGGCTGCTGCACCCACATGGCCGAGCTCCAGCCCCGCACTGAGCATGTGGCCGGGCCAAGGTGCCGAGGCTCAGGGATGACTCGGCTGGCAGCTCTTCATCACGCTGTCCCTCTTGGATCTATCCGCTGGCTGTGTACCTCTGAGCCCATCAGAGCTGAGCCTCGGGGGGCCCTGGTGGGAGCCCTGCCTCCATCCCTCAGCCCCCAGAGCCCAGGCGGGAGGGTGTGGCCACTCGTCCCGGAGTCAGACTGGCTGCATTGGGGAAATGAGCACCTTGAGACCCAGGAGGGGAGGCAGTGCCCTGGTCACTTGGTGGCGCGGGGGACACTGACAGCCTGTGTGCTCTGGCATTTCAGGGTCTTCCCACGCACGACACGGAAGGCAAAGAGCTGAGCAAAGGGCAAGCCAAGAAGCTGAAGAAGCTCTTCGAAGCGCAGGAGAAGCTGCACAAGGAGTATCTGCAGCTGGTTCAGAACGGAAGCTGCCCGTGAGCAGGTGTGGGACTGACGCTTTACCTGAGCCGTCGCGGGCCGCGGCTCCTCTGCCTCAGTGCCAACGCCCCAGCGCTCTGGTCATGTTTACATTGTCCGCGGGTCCTAGCTTAAGAGCTGTGTTCGTGTGGGTTCGTGCCGTCGGCAGCTCTGAGACACAATAAATTCTTCTAAACAGTGAGACCCGTGCCACCTCTCTGCCTCACCCTGCTCGCTCAGCACTTGGCGGGCCGCCAGTGGCCGGCCGGGGCCGCTTGGTCAGCAGGTCACCACTTGGGTGCTCGGGTCAGTTGAGCCGCTTCAGCCAGCCGAGGACTTTCTCCCCCACGCTGATGGCTATCGGCTAATCTCTGGTGTGTGGGCGCATTTGGAGGTATTTGAATAGGAAAAGACAGGCTCAGACTGGCAGCAGCCACTGAGCCCCGGACAAAGGCTGCTCCGTCTGCGGTCTGCGCGGGGCCTGATGAGTGAGCACGCTGCGGCTGCCTGGAGCCAGGCAAAGTGGGAGGCTCAGCAGGTGGCCCGAGAGCTGCCCAGGACTGGAGATGGCAAGTCCAGGATCCGCACAGCTGGTGGCTGAGATTGGGGGAGGGGAGTCTCAGCAGGGGGCCATCTGTCCCCAGGGCCCAGCGTCGGTGAGTGCCTCTGCCACCGTGCCCGCACACTCACACTCCCTGGACTGGGAATCCACACCCAGACGTGGACGTGCTTCCCCCTCCCTGAGTGAGGAGGGTGTGAGCAGAAGCCGGTGCCAGGCCAGATCCGTCAGGACAAAAGACAGTCACTGGTGCTGGGGTGGCCAGGCGGGGCACACTACCTGGTGCGTGTGGAGGACGGCTGCGACCCCGCGTGGGGAGTGTGGTGCGTCTGCCCGCAGGGGTGCACACTCCTGGTCCCGCAGTCCGCGTGCAGGAAGCTGTCCTGGAAGCGCAGCACTGTCCCTGTCTGGAAGGCCGCGTGCACGGGCTGTCTGCCGCGGCGGCCTGCGGCAGCGCCAAGCTTGGAGCCCGCCCGTCTGTGCGTTAGCGGGAGCACTTCGAGAGCACCCACTTGGTCATGCAGGGAGCACTGGCTGTGACTCGGTGACCACGGGCTCGGGTGTGTTGACATGTCTGACTTTTGAACCTTGTCAATGTTTTACATACCAAAAAAAAACAAAAACCAAGTAAAAAAAAGGTCTTCAAAGCAAAGTGAAACAAACTTGTTCCAGTTATCTGTTGCTGCATAACAAATCGCCCCTGAAAAGTTCGCAGCTGAAAAGGATGACGGTC